AAAAATAAAGTTGAGACATTCATTTCAAATATTCAGACTTTAAAATATGTTAATTTAATTAAGAAAAGATGTCACTGATCCAAAATGTGAATTAATACAGGTTTAAAATACTACAGAAAAATGTCTTTCATTATCATCTTTGTATCATACTGCAAAAGTAAAGATGATACTGCTGGTTTTGGTCACAATATGGAGAGGATGCATTTAAAAACAGTTCAACCTGGAGAGACTCACACAGAGAAAAACAAAACCTTAATCATCAGCAGAGAAAAGTAAGGAATGAGACAAATAAATGGTAGTGGTAATGAGAGGCTCTCATAATAAAGTTTTGGTTGTTATTTAGTGCTCATTTGAAAGTTTAAGTAGAAAATCTGTTTTTTATGTATATTTCTAGAAGTGGTCATTGGTTTTGTGATGTATTGATTTTAATTGATACACTGCAAGAATCTATTTATTTTGAATAATAAAAAAACATTGTCTAAGGTATGATTCATACCTGCAACATAATGGAATGTAACTCATAAAGTGTAAGGTTGAATTACGGCAATTTAATGTAGAGACAATTAAACTATGTTTATCATAATGGTAATAAACTAAGTTTACCTAATGAATTTTCTTGATAAAGTAACAACCTTTCATAAATAGATCTTGTCTTGCAATTTTGGTAGCTTTTTTAACTCATTCATAATTGATACTGACTAATACAAAAATTAGTGGAGCATTATAAAACCTGACTGACTACAGAGCTGCTTTAGACTCATTCAATAACTCAGCACTAAACAGCAAATTGCATATGAAGAATAACCCATACCTCAAAGGTTTTGTTTTTAATTTGACTTACAGCTTATTATGTTCAGTTCTGTCATTAACTCAACTGACTAGACTTGAAATTTGAATTTAAAAGACAATGAGTTAGTTCAGATGGATTAAGAAGATTGCATCTTGGGTAAAAGAAGTAGAAAATCTTTTGAAAGCATGAAATTAAGTTAGGATACATTGTTTAATCTCCATCTGACTCTGGAGCACGGTACTTCCGGCTGATAACCCAAACATTGTCTGACTCTGGGTAACGTAAAATCTTTTTCTTTCAGTTGCCATTGTATTAAATAGCTTTTATATTTTTAACATTAAATACATAAAACAATTTATTATTTTTTAGTTTTAAGAATTTGAATTACTAAATCTGATGAGTGTGCATAGGATGGGGGAAAATGGCTTGTTCATCACCTGTGTTGGAGTTAATGTGTCCTATAGGACTGTATGTTTTCTGTGTGACTCCATTGATACTAAAATCAACTGCAGCTCAGGTTTCTGTCAGATATCCTGTCAAGTTTCTCTTCCAGCCCTATCATGTCTCCCATTATAGGGAGAAAAAAAATGAAATGATAATAATGGTAGCACAGGTCTGCTGAGATGTCAACTGAAATCTGGAGCTGAGGGAAATATGAACATGAAGGTGCAGAGAAATAAAAGCAGTGATTTGTATGAACAGGGTCAGCTGAAGTGGAACACTGAAGTTTTGATGGAGAGGACCAGAAAAAAAATGAGATGATGTATACCAAGAAGTCACAAAGGACTATACCAACAAAGGGAGAGTTTTAGAACAGCACAAAGCAAGCCTATATTCCTTGATGGGTTTTCATTTGTGCAGCTGCTGTACTGACTAAATTGAATAAACCAAGTTTCAAATTTGTCCCTAACTTATTTGTTATGAGTGAATTATGCAAATGTCTAAAGAAACACAGTCATTTACATGTGGAATGAGTTTAGGCAGCTTTGCATCCATCTGTACTTCTATAAGTATTGGGCTTCAAATGAGAACAACAGTTATGATATTCTTTCCTGAATAATAGTTCCTGCTTTGCTTTTTAATATGGCAAGATGACTTTTAATTGTTTTTGGGAAAGGCTTAGCTCTTGCATATTGGAGTAAAATGTTTGTGCCCTGTTAGATCTATCCTTTTCAAATCATTTTATTATGAATCTGGATTATTTATATACAACGCTCCACAGAGTTACAACCAAAAAATAGGTTTGTTTCCCATAAATTTATGACATCTGAGTTTTATGAGAGTCCCAAGCGTGCAACCTCGGTCACGTTGAAAACTATAAAAAGAAAAAGGTTCAACTTTATTTGGCTGTTACTGTCAGGGTTGGGTGGTTAAGGACCCAAATTCAGAGATGAGGAGGCAGAGATGAGTTTTACCTGATTTAATCAAAAAAGGGCAACAGAAACAAAATCCAAGAACAAAATACAGGATATCAAAAAATAAACATGAGACATCAGGGGGGGAAAAAACACATGAGGAGCTAAGCAACAATAAGAAACCCGCACTGATTAACTGCACAGGAGGTGTATATATGGGGGACAGCACAAAGACTGAGCTAATTATCTGATAGGGAGCAAGTGTGGATAGAACGAACTAGAAGGGAGCTAGGGGAGAGGAGCCTGGCACAAGGAGGCAACAGAGAGCAATGCAAAAAAAAAAAAAACAACATGGATAGAAAACAACTACAGTGACACAAAATGGGAAAGAAAACATTGACCAAGAAAACAGGACATAGCTGAAAACTCAAAAAGACGTCTAAAGGGGAGAACCATAACAGTTACTGTCACAGAGGAGGCCATATAGTATGATTACTGAGTGTGTATGTTAATGCATTAAAAAGGACATAACTGCTCCATCACAATACTGAAACTTCACAGAGCTTCACTTTAAAAATGTTCACTATGCATTTTTGAATGTATATTTTTCATAATTAGTTTTGTTTAGTAGCTGTCTGTAATGTGAATTGACAAGATAATTAAAAAGCGCTCAAATAGTCTAAGGTAGCATCTAACGTGATGTTGTAAAAAACTTTTCATTTTACACTTCAGTTAAAAAAAAGACATCTATATGAGGAAAGCAAGATCAAATCAAGCGGCCAACTATGATTATTTTAATGTGTGTGAAGTTTTTTTCTCCACACTGCATTAACCTCTACATCTATTTTTTTCAATAAGCTTCAGGTTTATATTTACTGAAGCAGAGCAGGTGGTTCACTAAGCAATTGACTGGACCGGAAGTGAACAAACACACTTAAAGCACACCCCCTCTAACTGTCCAACAACATCATTTATCACATTGTGATGACATGATGGCCCAGCCAGTTGGTTGCCCCTGCTGTAATGTTTAGCCAGCTGTGACGCTTGGCCTAATGACTTGACTGGGTTTTCTTAATGGAGCAAAAGCCTGCTGGAAATGTTGAGGTTTGGCAGGTTAAAAAACAAAATCTGTCAAAGATGTGAGCACAGAAACCTGCCCTCCAACTGCAAAGGGAGGCAAAACGACACAATTTATCACATTTTGCATCTTTAACTTTTCTGCTGATGGGACATTTAGTTTCCAACTCACAAGCTTACATTAATAGTTTAGTGTTTTGTATCAGCTAAATTAAGAAAGTCATAAAATCATATCTAAGGTTAGGGTTGTTGCTGCACAGTAAGCTGGTGCAGTCTCAGCATATTTGTCACAATTTGATTCCATGATCACACATTTTTGTCAACATATCTGACAAAAATTATTTCATAAAGTTAAAGATAGTGGGTTTCTTCTTGACTTCCTAAATAAAATGCAATATAATACAATACAACCATTCTGTATTTTCTCAGAAATTCAAATATGTCAGTGGCAGATCAAAAAAGCAAATGCAAGTAAACAGTTTCATACATTTCTAAAGATTGACAACCTTCAGATTTACATTGGCCCTTACGATGCTTTTCAGATCAACAAACTCCTTCTCAGGTCTGTCAGTTTAGAATGATGGCTTTTAGGTTTTAAAGCTGGGATAAACTGATTCCACCTTCAGATAATTGGTTGAACAGTTCTCCGTGATCTGTGCAAAGCTTTGAATACTTTTCATCTGCTCTTGCTGAAAAGCTTTCAAAGAATGTACTAAATTAGCCTCTGATCTTAAAATCTCTATAGGACTCTATATTATTCAGAAAACATGTTTCTGTAGTGCAGAATTGTCGACACAGTTGCCCTGCAGCAGAAATGTATTGTGTTTGAACTCAAGCCTTTTTGAACAGATTTTGGCTAATAGTTGCTTCAGGCTCCCCACTTATATCCCGCACATATGTGTGAGAATACACAATGGATGTGGACGAATAATCTTAAACATTGCATATTGAAAATATGATCAACTTTGATTTGCTCGCCATTCTCTGCAATTGACCTGATAAAATTTGATTTCATTTGAGCACATTGGATAATTAGAGAGTATAGCAAACAACCAAAATATTGATGAACTGATTGTGATTTAACTGGATAAATAAATATGTATCTAAAGAGTATTTTGCTTTCTTTTAACCTCCCCAGTCAGAGAGTAAGTCTGAAATTTACACTTCAATAAAAGTCTCTCAAGACCAAATTGTAATTTGGCTTGTAGATATTTAAATGATCAATTTCTTCAAAGATTGATAACTAGCAGTCCTTATTTCTTACTTTTGTTTATTTAGATGACTTTAGAACTAATTGGTTTTCTGTAGTATGTCTTTTTAAAGGTTTAATATTCAGGATTAAGCTCTTAGTATATTTAAATGTTCTTTTCTAGGTTGACTTGCTGCCCCACTGCATTCCAGGTCTTTATTATGTCAACACATGATTTGTCCAAAATTTATTGTAGGACTTTCTTGCAGCTTTGTTTCAGAAAAATGTATTAGATGTGGAAAATATTTCTTTCACAACCTCTTCTACCTGTCCTAAATACAGTCTATCTATCTATCTATCTATCTATCTATCTATCTATCTATCTATCTATCTATCTATCTATCTATCTATCTATCTATCTATCTATCTATCTATCTATCTATCTATCTATCTATCTATCTATCTATCTATCTATCTATCTATCTATCTATCTATCTATCTCAGCTCCTCTTCAAAAAAAAATGTAGGCCAGAAATCATCACATGGATTTTTACGATCTATTAATATTTACTGATTTATCTTTTCCTAGATTTTCACCAGTGAGTGAGGAGGCTGCTGTTGGAACCCCAGTGGGAGTCATCATGGCAGCAGCCGTCAATCAAACCATTGTGTATTCCATCATTGAAGGGAATGAGGAAGGTGAGTGCACTTAGAGTTTTCCTATGGAGATTTGACCAGTGCACAGGTCTCTCTCTGGTCAAACGTCTCTGACAACAGCTCAGACCAGATTGCACAGCTTTCTTTCAAACTGCTCACTCTCAAGCCATTCCCTCCTTTCAAAAACACTTTTTTAATCAGTATTGCTATATTCTCCACAGATGTGTTTTCATTAAATGAAACAACTGGGGAACTATACACAGCCAAGCCTCTGGACTATGAAACCAATTCCAGCTATGTTCTTAAGGTTGAAGCAGACTCCATGAGAGTGGTGTCATCAAACCTTCGAGCTCCCACAAAGTGTAAGTTGAACTGTTGGCTGAAGCATTGCACTTTTCTAAAAGTGGATTAATCTATTAAATTTTTACTATGCTTCTTTATTTCCATTTATAAGGAGAAATATATTTCAGCTCACAGTGAATGATTTTATTTTATTTTTTGCCTGTTTTATTTTATCTTTGTTTTATTTTTTCTGTAATCAGATTGGAACTAGTATTAAAAGTTTAATAGACGTAAACACATCCTCTCTCAGGTTTGATGTGATGCAACCTTGCTGTGATTTAATTGGTAAAATTGCATAGGCAGACCAGGGGACTTAAAGGTATTGTGAGGATTTTTTCATAGACCCGCCCTTTCCACTTTAAAAAAATGCACACGCAAGAGCATGCATGAGCCCATTTGCTGTTCTCATAGCTGATATAAGCATACTGTGTCCGAACATCCACCCTAACCCCTAAATCCCTCAATCATTATATAGAGCAGGGACTATATATTGGACTTTATAGCAAACTTATTCAACTGACCGTTCATACAGATGATCACTGTTTTTTGTTTCCCATTGGTTACGCAACTCCGCCTCCACTGCTCGGTGCCTTCGCCATCTTTGTTATTAGTCACCACTGTCGGGTAGCGACAGCCTATGGCAACAGCGGGCTGCTGAAAGATCTCAGTGCAAAGCATTCTGGGATATATCTGCCTCTTCTGAGGATTTCTTTTCTTCTCATAGACTTCGTAGACACTTTTTCTCTTAAGACCAGCGGCCATTTTCAAAGAACCGCGGTGAGAAAGGTGAGCTTCGATGACTGTCTGAAACCGTAGCTCACCACACATATGCGGCTGAAAATGCGCATGCACACAAAAAGAGAGTTAATGGGGAGAGCACGTAGGTCGCACTTACGTAAACATATCACCAGAATGCTTGACAATAAGGAGGACCACTTATTTAGATGATCCACCCGGAAATAAAAGATTGTCCTCTATACCTTTATAAGTCACCAGTTATTACCTGTTGCCAAATTTTACCCCTACAAACCAGATGTAGTTAAAGCAGTTGTGTATGGGGGAATGGATATCCAAAATGTTTAACCTAAGTCAAACAGTTTGAGGCAACACTACCAATTTCTAAGGAATGGTATTTAAATGAATACATTTAAATAAGTTGGTAGTAAGTTTATTGATTGGTTGAGGATTATTTGTTTAGTTTGATCATATAACTTGTTTAGGTAATAAAAATGATATGGAAAAGTAGAAAAGAATCCTTTTAAATACCAGGGATGGTTGTAATAATTTTTTAATCATTAATTTTATTCTAATTAAACTGTTAATAATTTCATTTTACGTAACTTATAGTGGGTCTTAATATGGATATTTTTATGGCTCTTTGCGACATTTCGTTAAAGCAAAAACCCCTGTATTTGACAAGTCCGACACCATTCCAATCATATGGAGTGCACTTTGTTGCAAATGCAATTGGAGTGAATCAATTTTTATGCAGTTTGAATTAACAAATTCATATCTAATTACATACAGTACAGTCTGACTCAGTCCCAATTCAAAGCAGTTCATGCTAAACTGGTTGGTCTTTTCTATCTAGACAAGCCTACTGGTTTCAGTAATTGGCTTTTTTAGGCAATTATACTTTGGCAAACATTTGGCAACATTACAGCTTCTCATGTTTTATAAATGAGATGCTTCTTGCTTTTACTGTTGCTTTATGAGGCTTGTATTTCCTTACTGCTTTTAACATCTATATACTTAAATATCTAAGTCTCCAAGCAAGCTTTACTGTTGATGCTGTTGAGCTAAACATTGTGGTCTTACAAACTCCTTTACTTGCACTTTTAAAGGGAAACAAAAAACTTTTGCTTATATTTATGATGAGAGCTAATGTGTAAATGGATCTAATTAGTCTCAATCTCTTTACCCATTTTTCCTTTTTCTACTGGTCTCCTTCTTTATGTCCTTTTTCCTCTTTTGCTTTTCACTTCATATCTCTGTTCTTCATAATTGAAGCTCGGCTCGGGAGCTTTCACTTATCTTCCTTAATTATAGTGTTTACCACATGCTGTTCTCATTTCATTAAAGCGATTTGAATTCAAAATTTCTTCTGGGATTAAAGCAACAAATCATTGTGTCATTTGCAAATTTCCAGTTCTTTCCTGCTCTCACCAGGCAAGGAAATCAATAGGACTCTGCTAATACTGCTTTTTTTCCCCCTGCATAAATGTTTCAGCATTCTGTCTAGAGGATGTTTTATATTGATGTTTGTATCATCTTCTTGGTTTGTGCTTTCTTTAAAGAGTTTGCTTTAAGTTTTTTTTAATAATGATTTTATCACTGTTTTCATTTTCTTGTGTTTCAGGAAAATTGTCATTTCAAATTAATTTCAATTTATACAAATTTGTAATTTTATTCTTAGTTTTATTGTTTTTGGGGTTTTTTTAATGGGCTATGGGGCAGCTTTACATGGGCATGGATCAAATTTCCATGTTTGAGTGGAGAAGCAAGTCATTCCAAGTTCCCATTACTTATTAATCATAAGATATTGCTTTTTCTTTTCTTTTCTTTTCTTTCCTCTTCTGTGAATTTGGCTGTATCACAAAAGCTCTAAATACGTTTTGTTTCAATAATAATGTTTTCTGTGCATGAACTTTGAAAACCAATCCAACATAATGATTGAAACAATAATTGACTTTTGATACTGGCTTCCAACATATTTCAAAGTGCTTGGTACAGAGAAATATCCAAATCTGAAGGACTGACAAATTCAGTATCAGTTAAGCATATTTCCCAGTTATAGTGAGATCACTAAATGTCATGTTACTAACATGCATTACACACTATAGACTATTTCTGAGGTTATGTACAATTCATGCTATTAAAGTAGCATTAAAAGGCTAAATGGCTCTGCTATGTCTGAATAGCCATAACCTATAAATTAGCCACTAATGATTGTGTTAATAAAAAAATCAACTAATTATTGGTTTGTCTGATAGCAAATAGAAATATGCTGATAAATGACTTCAGTTACCATAGCAGATCAGTGATAATCAATTGAAATTGTAATTTGATTAAATCTTGGAAGAATTAAGGACGGTCAGGAGGACAGTCAAACCAGACGTTCTTAACTCTACATATTGTTTAGAGTGTCTGCTGAAGGTATCACTCACAACAGTTGGATAAGAAACAAAGCATTCCTTTATTAATTGGAGGAGGAGGCTGACACACTCTAAGAGTAAACTGACTCTGAGTGAGCACTTTTCATGGACAGCAAAACCAATTTACTATACATATGTAAAAATGGCTAATATACATTGATGACCCAATACGACCATTAAATATTATAGCCTATTCAATAGATATTTTCCCCTTAGCGTTTGTGAGTTTCTTGCTAAAGAAATCTTTTAATTTAGCAGTAATCATCCAAGCCAGCATGACCCAAAGAATCATCATATTTATTTAAACTTGTATTAAGCTTTAAAAAAAATGATTTTAAAGCAAGATCAATGACCTGTCTGCTTGTTATATTTCAACTACCTGCCATGAAAGCAGCTTTTACAGGGAAAGTTGCCTGTGCTACGTTCTAAGAATAGATTGGTTGGGAAAAACAAGCAATCTAGTTGGTTAAACCAATTTTGGTTAGATTAACCAATATAATGCTCAGAAACTTACCAAGCCATTGTTTTCCTATCAAACAATTCAATTGGTTAACCATAAAAATGACAACAGATGGTTTACCAATCTGACTGTTTAGCTGTAGTCAGAGTGTGTAATATTTCTGGACCTAGAGATCAATTACCGTGATGTGGACATATACTGTACAGCGTGCTAGTGGCTAATGGCACCTGGCATTAACCTTGGTTGTAACATTAGTATAAAGTAGTGTCTAATTGCTATACTACAGAACTTAACCAACATATATTTGTCAAAGTGACCAATTTGTATTGGTTAAAACACTACCAAATGTGAGTGGTTGTTTAACCAAAGGATTGGGTGGACACATAACAACTAATCAGATTGGTAAAATTAAACTAAACTGTTTTTAGTGTAGTTTTCTTTCCAAAAATCTAAGTTGACGTCTTCATATGTGCCTCAGATTGAATTTGTTCAGTAACTTCATATATCTTTCACCTGAGCCTACTTTTGTTTATGTCTGAAAAATAAGTGTATTCACCGGTTTTCTTTTTCTTTTTTTTTTCATAGCAAATACAGCTAGGGTGGTGATTGATATCCAGGATGAGAATGACCACCCACCAGTGTTCACCAGATCTCTTTACATTGGAGGAGTTGCAGAGGATGCCAAAACTTTCACCTCAGTCTTGCAAGTGCAGGTAAATATATAAAGTGCTTTTACAATTTACAATCCTGCTTGCAGACCCTGTGTGGCTTTCTGTCGCTGTATTTGAGGTTTTCAGATGCACAGTAACTAACAGGATTAGCTGATAATATCACCACTTGTTTCTCTTTATCTGCTGCTGGAAAATAGCTCCCTTTTGCCTATCTACGAGGAACTTCAAATAGCCATGAACAGCTTGAGTGATTCCAGTCTCATTAAAACACCTTTCAGGATCCAAAGGGAATCACAAAGCATGTTTCTTTCAAGCTCTATCTTTAAATAAGCAATATGTTTTAATTAAGTTGGATTCCACAAAAGACTCGATTGAATTCACTTGCACAAAAGTCTGGGCCTTGATGTTTAATTATCTTTAACATCAATCCTGCCTTATTAGACTTTGCACAGTGACACTGAAATACCAGACTGTAGCTTTTTCAGATTCCTAGTTTTGTGAGAAAAGGGAGTTCCCTACATTAGCCTGTTGCAAATACAAAACATTAGTTTTGTACTAAACAAGAGAAGATTAAAAGGTAAAAAACAACAAAATTTATATAGCGGAAAGTTGAATTTGTAGTTTATTGTATTTCTATTTATGGAAGCATTAGTTTAGACATAGACATTAGACATAAATGGAGGAAACCTTTAAATCTTATTGGGTGTTAGGTCATAAATGCCAGATTAATATCATGTGTCCAAAACTTCCATTCTGATTGGTGCATGTGCAAGCAGATATTCATACAGGTCACCATCCTGTAATTATGGTACTAAAAGTATACGTTCCATGCTTAAATAACAAAATAATGCTTAACTACATATTCTTTTAAAAATTAAAGACTTTTCTTAGCTAATTAGATAATTTAACATTCTCTGTTAAACTGCCTGTCTAATGTCATCATTGGCCATGCTCAGATCAGTCCGGCAAAATGTGATTACACTGTTTGTATCTACATTTTAGTTTTTTCTAGTCTACCTTTTTTAGATAGTTCATTACATACCATGAGGTTAAAACAAAATAAAAAAGAATAAAACTTGAAAAATACTATACTTATGTTTGAATCAAAACCGGAAGTAGCATAGAATCCTATGTCTGGGACCGATCAGGCACATAGGAGTGAAATTATTCTCTGAGATGTTTCTGGGTTTAGAGATTGTAAATCAGCTGAATAAATCTAGAAACATCTGATGCATTCAGCAAAATGCTGCCAAAAATGTATTATTATTTTAATTATTAATTATTAAATCAATTATTTTCTTCTCCTGATCGATATTTTTTCACATCTTAAGTCGCTGAACTCTTACCAGCGCCGCCCGACAGATAAAACTCCGCCCTCTCATTTAAATATAAGAAAATACAATAAAAGGAGCTTAAAATGTAAAACAGAGTTAAAAAATAAAATTAACAGAATAGGTAAAGTAGGTTTACAAAATAAAAGTGTCAGAAAATGGTATTCCATTATGAAATAGATAAAGTAATTATAAATTAAAAAAAAATCTTGAAATATAATAAAATAACATAAAAATTATTTTAGCATATTTATTTTGTTTCTTTTATGGTGATATTAATTTAATGGAATTTTTATTAACATTTTATCAAAAGCAGTATTTATTTAATTTTGAATAAAACCGCTCTCTACAGGAAGGCAAAACAACATTCTCCAACAGCAATAACTGCACTCACGATTTCACAGCAAGATGTTGCGCTTAAAATATTGTTTTTCTTAAATGAATCTGGGCTGTATCTGCTAAGTACTATGACTGTCTTCAGCCAATACTATATTGACAGTTTGTAACTTCTTTTTTTTAATGCTTAGCAATGCCATTTTAGAATTATAACACAATCTTGAAATGCAATTAAAAGTGTAGTTTTGTTGTGGAGAACATTTTGGCAGGTTGAGAAAGAGCAAATTCTGACATGGGCCGTCATGGAAAATTGCTTTGGAGGAAATAGAAAGGGAAATTGGATCTGCTTCAGCAACTTTGCTGTACATGATTGTAAGAGTGTGAAACATTATTTTTGGAGTCTGGTTCTTTATTAGGATTTATTTTTTTCATTGAGACATTGCTACAGAAGAAAGCATGACTTAATCCAGCTCTTCTGTGCAATATTTTTTTTTTTTAGCAAAAACTCAGGTTAGGATGGCAATTTGTTTATTTACATTTACATTTTTTTAAAGTCATGTTAGAATTTACATAGCTGTGGTCACAATAATTATTACAACAAATAAGTTTTAAAAAATTTAGATGATTGTGGTTCTAAAACGCAAGATTTGGAAACACTAATCATCTACAAGAATTATCCAGTATATTTATGGTTTCATGCTGAGAATTTTGCTTCAATAATTTTCATGCACTAAACTACATGAGATTTTGATCAATGGAGTCCAATTAGTCCATCTCACAATACTAACACATACTAGCCATGCATGGGGACATTTTCTTTTTTAGAGGAGAGGTCATTATACCTGACAATTTAACAGTTAACCTTCAGGCTGTGGGGACAATGATACACATCATCCAAGCTTTGCTTTTGTATTTCAATGCATACTCATGTCTACTTGTGAAAGACATGGGAAGAATGACTTATTTGACCATGAACCCTCAAGAGCTGAAATGTCATTTTAATGAGGATTTACGCATTGCTCTTCTACTTTAATATCTCTTTAATGTAACTTCCATCCTCCTGCTCCTAATGACAGCCTTATCACATAGGACCAAGCTCAGACATGGTAGAAACAGTCACTGCTTTTTCATGACATACTGCAGAATCACATGAACATTTAGGCCATTAAAATGTCAAAATTTATATTTTTATCTTGTTGAACATTTTTAGGGTCCGTCTTCGATCCATCCAAAATGGATGCCTTGATATTGTCAATGTTAAAGTGCTCCTTTGTCCTTAAAAATTCCCTCCAAGATGCTTGGAAGGTTGTTTTTTTTTCAACAATATAATATTAAATGCTTTAGATTGGCATATTGTTTCTCATTTTGCTTCACTTCAAATGTAACATTTTATACATTTCCTTATTTTATGTAATAATTGTCTTTAATATATTTGTTCAAAGCAAATTGACATGTTAATTAGAATGATTTTGGTTCATATTCTGAAATAACATTCATCTTTTGAAGCCTAGCTTGAACTTTTCTACTAAAGAAATTAGAGTTCCCGAATGAAACAGTCTAGCAAAAATAAAATGCTTTTGAATTCTACTTCGATTCTCACAGAACATTCTTTTTGTTTTTCTAACATCTCTAGTGAAACTGATGAAGGGTTTGCAGGCTTTTCTCAAGTCTCCATTTTGTACTTGCACCCCTTTGTCCTCCTTCTTGCTGCCAGGGAACAAGTAATCTATTTTAGCACAATGAAGGCTTCATTCTTTAAGTCCACCTAGACAAGAGAAAAACTGGAGAAATAAGGCCTACTGTGGGAGCTGGGATTGAGAAAGCACACTCTTATACTTTTTATTTATTAAATGTATCCTATTTTGTAGCTATGCACTATTCATTTATGTTATTACAACGCTCTGGAATCACCTGTCAATGCTGGGTTTAACAATAGTTTAAAAGACATGGTGCTTAGTGTGTCATTGCCTTTTTTTCTTTCAGTTGAGAGCTTTAATGCCTAGACAAAACCGGCAGACCTGAATTATAGTCTACATAGTTGGATAGAGTTCAATCCGAGGATTAAGCATAAAGCGGCAGTCCACAAGGTAGAGGTATCCAGAAAGGCTAGACAAGAATGTAATACAAATATTAAGCCTACAGAATCAGTAATAGGAGACACACTAACTAGGCAGAGGTTTCTAGAGAGACTGGGGCCTAAGCAGATCTGAGGTCCAGCCTCAGGTCATACATGATTGAAAGTACAATCCAGACAGGGACAAAGGCAAACAGACTTGGTCATGAGGCATGGCAAGAGGTAGACGTCCAGAGATCAGAAGCCAACAAGAATGACAGGGACAAGGCAGGCGGGAGAAAAACATGAACAAGACAGGTCAAGATCAGGAGGCTGAAACAAGAATTGTTAGAAGGTCTACTTACATCACCTGCTTTCTCAAATCTGGCAGTTACCCAAAGGGAAGTCAAGAGCATATAGTGCTCTTCTATTTATTTATGGTCTTAAAAGTTACAGTGAGTAGTTTGGATTGGGGTGCAAAAGTTTGTAAAAGATTGTAAATTGACACTTCTTTTAGATGATTTATCAGAAATGTAGGCTATATTTAGAACATAATGTTAGGCTGTTTTATCTGTTTTATCTCAGGTTGACTTTATCCCAAATAATCTAAGGTCTGGTGAGTCAAACATTCCATTTTCTTTGATTTGTCAAAGTCTTAAAGTAAAGACATCCCAAATGTTTGTTTGTTTTTTTTCTTTTGTTTTCCCAAGTAAAGGTAGGAAGTATATTTTCTTCTTGGAAAGAAAAAAAATGAGCTGTGTTTCACCAGCTGAGCAAAAGCAAAAAAAAAAACATTTAAATACCTGAAGAGTACATAGACGAACAAGTATAACCAGAACGACAAAGGAAATGTACCTGAAGACTTGTTTAATTTAAAACCTTAAATTAAAAAAAGTCCCTTTCATGTTACAAATGCAGTAAATCACAGCACTTCTGTAGTAACTAGTTATCTCCATCATGCAGGCTTTTTACATTTCTTAATGCAATTCTGTCAGGACGCATTTATAAAAAAAACAAATTAATTAACATGAATTGTTTACCAGTGAAGATTATGACCCAACTGAGAGGCAATTAGGTTTTCATTTTGATCTGGAATTGAGGCTATGAATTTTTTCATCTGACCTGGCAGAAGGAAGGCGATGTCTAAGTGCTTCTTGATTATCTTTTTGTGATAATTAGTATCACCCAATTATCTCACATCTTGAGTGTCTATTATTTCCCAAAGCTGGTAAGCATATTTGTAGAACAGCATTGTTTGTTAGGCTGCCTTATGAAAATTAAACAATTTGATTATACTCTACATGTTCTCAATTTAAAGCCACTGTGTTTTGGATAGCAGAATAATAACGGATTACCTTTAAGGTTTATGTCATATTATTCATACCTAACTTTTTGAGTTAATGCTTAAAAAAAAAAGATTATTTTACAAAAAAAAACAGAGAAATCCAAAACTTACATAAGTTGACAGTGTTGTGGTTGCAGTGCCAAACTCAGGCTTTAATAGATAACAAGTGGCCATATAACACGAGCAAAGAGATAGCAAGGTCTACAGGTCAAATTTGAATTGTTGAAAGTTGGTTTAACTATTAAGAAATGAGGAAAAAAACCTGTCGGGGACTAATAGCTGAGAGACCTTACAAAATGGCATCCTTTGGAGGGTTAAAAATAAACACTGAGAACAGCCTATCTATTCCAAAAAAAAGCTAAAGACAAACCACTGGACTTTGTTTTCCAAGTTTGAAGACGTTCTGCTTTCTATCCGGAAACCTTTCTCAATTCAAAATGTCTGGAGAAACGTTGGGCTCCTGTTAAGCCAAACCAATAACGACCCTAACAACTCCCCATTACAAAGGGGTGGACCTGTTTTCGGTTCAATTTGCATGCCATAACAAGGCTTTTTTGGGGCTTTTTTTTTGGGTTCCTCTATAAAGCCTGGAACTCAAGGCTCCTCCAGACATTTTAAATTAAGAAAGCTTTGTGGTTGGGAAGAGAAACGTCTTCAAATTTGGTAAACAAAGTACAGTCGATTATTTTTAACTTTTTTTGGAATGACTATGACCTGGATGACTGACAATCTTCACCAGCCTATCTATGACTTACCACAATAATTACATATCATTTACTGTATCAGTGAGCAAAGCTCTACAGTAATTCACAACACTAAAATCCTGGTTAAACTGGAGAAACTTTGTATTTTCTGCTCTTGTTCTGATCAGCATTGGGTCTTAATGCCCTTTATAAGTCAGTACGGATTTTTTTTTCCCAAGCCTCTGACTAATTTATTACTGTTAGGAATCCATATAGTAACTGTGTGTTTTTCTCCCCATATTGATTGCGTTTTATATATGAGGATTTTTCTACCCGTTAGTATAGCAATTGTTAAAATGTTGATATTTCTCCCCCCAACTCAAACTTTTTCTTTTCTCAATAAAATGTTGTTCAGCCCTAGATAATCTCTTTAAACAATATTTTAAACCTAAAGTCACAGGGAGGGAGGACAACAAAAGTTACATTCAGAATATCTATCCTATCTAATACCACTGTAGTATTGGATTGCTTATTTTTTCATCTTCTAGCTGTTAAACATTTCTTCATCACCTGCAAGCTGCCATGTGTTCTAAATATTCTAGTTAAAACTTATCTTTGGGTCAAGAAAACCATCTGCTGTGAGATTAGTGTGAGATAACAGATTGCAGATGCTACCTTGTCCTCTATATAAAGCAGCAAAAAGTAATTTTGTTTCACAAAGTGTGTTTAAGAATTACTTTACCACTTTTAATTGGAATAAAAGGTTAACCATGGTTGACTTTTTTTTATATTTTATGCCTCTAAAATATGGTATTTGTGATTTAGAGATGGCAGGCTGCATCATGTGGTGTTCCATTTACTGAAGAATATAGATGTTTGTGCATGTTGAAATATACCAGGTTCAAACTTAAGAAATTCAACACGAAGACACTACTCCCCTATAGCTCAAGAGGCTTTAGGACTCTGTCACAAATTGATTTCCTTTTGTGTAGATTTCCTACTCTGTGGAATGAACTATTGTTGGCTTCAAACCAAGGCTGGCAGACTTGCTTTTAGTCTCCACAGATATAAAACCATGAAGAAGACAAAGGTGACATCTCTGGGTTGGTTAGATGTCAGCTGAATAACAATTATCCTGAGTTAAGGATGTCAGGAAAACACAAATTTCTTTTGAGTGAAAAAAGATGAAAATTTTAACAAAGACACAATTCTTTAGTTGACAAAGATTGTTGAAATTATATAATCATAAGTTAGATCATTTTTCAGCATGACTCCTGCCTTTGCTGTAACACACGGCAGCTTAAACTATGCCGCCAAACAACTCTGTTGTTTGAATCGTTTTCATTGGAAGGGCACTTTAAATAGTAATCATTTAAATTTTTGAAAATAATTCTATGCCATTTGTCCTTTCTTAATATGAGATGTACAGAATATGAGCAGAGAAATATATTAATTGGATTTAATCAGAAAAAAAAATTAGAGATTCAATTCTTTTTAGCCATATTAGTCAGCCCTAAGAAAACACAAGTCTATTATTTAAAAAAATATAGAATATAGCATTAGATCAACAAAAAAAAATCATTAAGGTACAAATGTCAGGTGTCAGAAAACTATGTCCATTTGTAGGTACTTAGTATTTGGCTAAGACTGTCTCAGCAGTCAAGTTCCCTTTCTCTTTAACACATGAAGATGTTTCTGACATTGTCTTGTAGTTATCGGTCTGCATCGGCTCGTGGTTCACCAACTCTTGCTTTAATTGACCACTTGTGAAGTTACCTCATATTATTGAATGGATTTTGCTTGAAAATCCTCTAAAGGCTCTATCAAGGGCCTCCCCATTGCTAGTGCAGCTTTTCAACACTTTTTTCTTTCACTAAATATCCTGTTAAGATGTTTGAATACAGAATTTGATGAACAACCCATTTCTTCAGCACTGACCTCTTGTGGCTAACCCTCCTTGTGAAGGGTGTCGATGACAGCCTCCTGGACAGCTGTCAAGACAAAAGTCCATCCTATGGTTGTGCAGCCTACTGACCTAGAGTGAGAGACTCAGAATACCTTTGCAGGTGTCTTAAATTAATTAGCTGATTAGGGTGCAACATTGTGAATTTCCAATGAACTTTTCTTAGTATTCTAATTTTCTTAAACAGTGAAATGGGTTTTTTCATCACTGGCAAAAATATTGCATTTGCAAAACTTTTTTTTTTTTTAATAACTATAATTAGATATGTTTTAATACTGAAAAGGTGTTGGAAAAATACTCACTTTAGTTACAAAAATACAACCATATAAAATCCAAGCGTCTCTCTTTAGGTAGTTATTGGTTTTAGCACAAAAGTTCACCTGATTGTTGCTGGTTTATTTTGCACAGAAGGTCAGTCCGGGAGCAGAACAGCGAAAGCAAAGCAATTATCTACCGTGTCAATTATTTTGAATATTATGTATCAGACACATATGGCATTTTTGTTACTTCACCTTCTGCCACTGGCTGTAAACTGAGAATGACTTCTTGGGTGAAAGATAGAGTGAATACCACTGGAACAAAAAATGCAAAAAAGGCAGGAATTAAATAAAAAAATTAAAAAGCTCACATGAGCCTTTCCTCTGATGATTTTCTTTAGATCATATGTTAAAACCTATTCTTGAAATACATTGTTCTTTTTCTACTTTTTTATTTAATAAAGACAGGCTTGGTAAAACCAACAAATACGTAATCTGCAAATGATATGCAAATAAAACATGACAGAGGATCCAGATTTCTGCTTTGTTATATGGGGGTACCTGAATTTATTAAAGCAATTTAATCAAAGGATCATCCAGATTCCTAATGTATTGTACAAAGTGTCAAAAGACTACTCTAAAAGTAAGAAGGAGCTTTAAAAATGTCTGTAGCTCTATATCATGCTTAATGATATACACCTCAGCAAAGTGTAATGTAGTGTAAAGTTATACAGTAGAATTATTTTACTTAGTTAATAGTGTGCATATTGTAGTATAAAGTAGATCATTGTATGTATAGCTTAACACTATATGATGTAGTACACTGTAGTGCAGAGAGTTTATATAACATAGCAAAACAAGAGATTAGCTAACTGTAGTCTTGCTTCCAAGAGACCGGAGTTGCATCTAATTATATCTTATAGCAACTTTGTCAGGATTTTTTTGTCCGCATCATTTTAATTTCCCTTGTCCCTAATCATAACACAAATAAAGTATGTTTAATTCTTGTGGTGCCTCTAATGGGTTACGTTTTTCCATGCTTTGTATGCAATATGCATTTCTGTTCTGCAACATCTTGCAATAAATCATTGTCTGAGCATGTCTGGGCAGGAGCTGATAGTTAGCCACAATGACAGAACAGATTAATGGATCTGCTTGCAGAATCACCTTACCCCCTACTGCCTTTTCGTAGTTAAACAAGTGCAAGAGAGCAAGCTTTATTGCATCCTGAAAATTTTCAAAAGAAAATATAAGAAATATGATTTTGACAGGGAAGCTATACAAGGGGGAGGGGGGGGGGACATGTTATTTCTGACTTAATTATTGAATGTTTCAATGGATGATCAGCTGTTCAGAATACCATATAAGTTCATGATCTAAACCTAGATCATGAACTAGTTCATAAAAATTGACACTACTTGTTTGTGATATTGTGCACAGGTTAGGATCAAGATAATCATAGAAGTGGTAACATTAGAAATCCTTTTTTTTCTGATTTTCTAGGCTTTGGACAAAGACACTGGTAACTACAGCTCCATGATCTACAAACTGATCATTCCCCCTCCAACAGGAAAACAAACTAAAGACAGCAAAGACGGATTTGTCATTGAACCATACACCGGTGTGGTGAAGACGGCTATTATGTACCGCAACATGAGGAGGTCGTATTTCAAATTTGAGGTGGTTGCAACAGACAACTACGGCAAAGGACACAGCAGCAAAGCTGAGATAGTGGTGTGTGTGTTTGTAATTTCTTTTTTATAATGATTTAGTATGAATAGCTTTGAAGATGATATGTATTCAAAACAGTTTCTAATTTAAGTTGAAATATTTCAAACTTGTAACTGTCTGATGATGAGCATTATCTAGTTGGTATCATTTCAGTTATAAATATGTTGTTTAAGACCTCTTTAGTTCCGGGTTACTGATGGAATAAAGATAAATAAGGTGCTTTAGTTGTGATTTTAAGCATCTGCATAAATATCAAATATGTGTAACGTTGTCTTTGTCCTATTGTTCTTTTCAACCTCTAGGTGTCTGTTGTGAACCAGCTTGACATGCAGGTGGTTGTTTCAAATGTCCCACCAACATATGTTGAGAACAACAAAGAGAAATTGCTCAGGTAATCAATGCTTTATTTCTCACTATGCTTTTGACATTAAGACCCTTTTTATATTTTAGAAGTATTCAGTGTCTATATTTCATAATTTCATTGCACCCAGCATACCTTACTGAGGTCTATCTGACAGTTCTGACATGCATGGGCAGTTCGGTCAATGTTTCAGTGTATTTTACCGACTGTGTTTCAATGTGTTTTAGAAAAATATCAGTTAAACATAACTGATTTCACGTTCTATTTCCTGAAGGCATTATTTTTTCTTTTTTTTTTTTTTTTTACACTGAATTTTACACACTTGCATTTCAGAATACCTGTTTTAAAGTTGCACTATATTTACATTTTGTCATTAATTCAATCTAAGAAAAAATACCAATTTGCCACATGTAAGCTAGTATTTAGCACCAGCAATAAAAAAGACAAAAATGTATTTGCATAAACTATGAGTCTTAAAATGCTCAATGAATAACATAAGGTGTATGACAAAAGAATGAAGGACAGTAAAAAGAGGAAAAAAAGGTTTTAAAAGGTCAAAGTCATCCTTATGGACCTCAAAAATCTGTTTCAGTATATGTCAATTCATGATTTGACAGGTCCACAAAAACCAAAACAGTGGTGGTAAAATCATTCAGATTTTTTTTTTTTTAATATGATTTGATTAATTACATTTTATTCAGGAAAATATTCAAAAAGTATTAACTGTACCCAACGCACATTAAAACACGTCCAGCTAATAACAAAATCAAACAGCCATGTTTTGAAAAGTCTTTAACTCCATACAATCCAATTTATCCATACACCATGATCTGTAAACTACACTTATTCTAAGTTGCAGTTAAAAATCATCATATTCATTGTGTTAATTTCAAACGCAGTTATAAGCTGACCGATTATTTTTGTTGACTTTATTCATCCGTGCATCCTTCAGAGGAAGGAGGAAAATTTTAACTTGCTGCAGCCCTGTGATAATTTAACTTTCTTGCTTGCACATCCTAAGAAATTAAAGGTGAGAAAAGGATGTATACTGTTGTCTCTAAAGGTCACCCACAAGCCATGGTGCCCTGATTACAATAGAAAACGGGATTTTTGAGACTAAAGTTAACAGTTACTTCAGTCCAGGATTTGTAAAGTTCCAATCTGATCCCAGGAATTTTTTTTTTATATCAACAGATATCATTTTATCTCTGAACCAAACACTTTCATTTAAACATTTGTGTTGGTTTTAGCCTTGACTCTTATAAAGGAATATAACTAGATAGAACAGACACAGGTGTATTCCTTCACATATCTTAATTTGTATTTATAAGTTTGGTAATCACATAAACTTAATAATGTTCCTTTTTATGCCAATTTCCCTACCTGCTGAGATGAAGCAGGGTGACAGACACAAAATGAACATCAGGACATAATATTACTTTAAAAAACCTGGCGCTGTCAAGTCACCCTTTTTATTGGGTTGTAAAGTGCTGGTAAAATGGTTTGAAAATACCCTGCTACAAGATTACCCTGTAGATGTAATTTTCCCATGCTGAGTACTTTACACAGATTGCTTGAAAGATTGAGAGAAGTCACATCAAATGGCTTGGTTAAACAGAGGTTTAGTTTTTCACTCGAACCTTTCAAGGCCATATTTTTCAAACTGTTTTCATACCTTTTGAAAGTGATTAGCCAAGTTTTCTGCACTAACTTTAAGAAAATCTGAGTATTTTCTATGTATTTTCTAAATATCCTAGTTTATTTCAGTCTTTTTAACAGCTGCCAACATTGCAACCCCTACAATAGATTTATAGCTTAGAAGAATAAAATACAGCAGCGTTTCTGTACTCCTGTTGGCCCTCCTCTCCCCAAATGAGACCCTTCTCTCCCCAAATCTTTCTCTTCTACTGTAAGAATACAGTATAAGAATTTCTACTCCTCTAGATGCTTAAACAAAACACATAACATTTTTAATAGTTACTTTCAACACTAGAATATGTGTGAATGATGGAATTCTGACCAACAGGCCAGGTACTGAATGCTGATTTTTATAATAAGCCACTACTCTGTAATAGTTGATTTTGAGGATTACTATAAAGGTCGCATGGTGCTGCGGTTTGTAGCACTGCTGCTAGTGTTCTTTCAGCATGAAAGTTTGTATGTTGAGACTTGCATGAGTTGGTTCTCTCTGGGTAGTTCAACTTAGATTGGTCAATGCTTCTAACTGTGACTGAGTGAATATTTGTTTGACTTGTGAGCCTCTGTCTTGCCCTGTGATTGGCTGGCAACCTTTTCAGGGTGACTTACCCAAAGACTGCTAAAGGGAAAAAATTGGCCCCCTGTCACCCTGCTGGACAAACTCTTATATAAATATGATGTATACTGTGTGTATTTTTACACATATTCATAATAGTTATGAAATGTCAGTTTTAAAAAAACCGACAAGAAAATAGATTCAACAAAGTCAGTGTCATGAGTGATGGCATGATTAGGGAAAATGGAAAGAAATTGGATTTCTAACAGATAAACATTCCATCTGAAAAACTCAACACTGTTAAGAAGGTCTTAGATGATTAATAAAAGACATAAAGAATTGCAATAGATATTGGAATTATTAGTAATCAAATAAAACCAAAAATAACAGCATTTAGTGGGATGCTCTGTGTAGCAGTGGGTAGCAAGAAGGTTCTGGGTTCGATTCCCAGCCCGGGGTATTTCTGCATGGAGTTTTCATGTTCCTCCTGTGCATGCATGGGTTTTCCCTGGGTACTCTGCCTTCCTCCCACAGTCTAAAAACATAACTGTTAGGTTAATTGGCATCTCTAATTTCTCCTTAGGTGTGTGTGTGTGTGTGTGTGTGTGTGTGTGTGTGTGTGTGTGTGTGTGTGTGTGTGTGTGTGTGTGTGTGTGTGTGTGTGTGTGTGTGTGTGTGTGTGTGTGAATGGCTGTTTGTCCTGTTCGTCTCTGTCTTGCCATGCGATTACCTGTCCAGTGTACCAAGGTGTACCATGGATGGATGGATGGATGGATGGAAAACAGCATTTATGATTTTGGAATACAATCACAATTTGTAACTGAGAGATACAAAGCAAAAGGGTATAATGTGTGCTACTTTTCAGAAAACATTCAACAAGATGTTTTTCTGCTCATTTTTCTGTTGTTGTTATGCATGCTTCCGTTGTCATCGCTTTATTCTCTATCCTGTGCTCTCTTCTGAAACTTATTCATACTATCATAGATTTTCAGAAACATTATCCGCAGACTTGTATCAGCTAAAATATTTGATACCTTATTTTGCCTTACTGCGACTTATATCCTTCCAGGCTCTGACTTAATTCATGTAGAATTATCTCTATCCACAGTCTGGAAAACATACTTTTACTCGTATCTTGAAAGCAAAGACTCTGTTTTACATTCAACATACCATTTATTATTCATTATATGCCATCATATATCTTCAAGCTCCTTCCTACCAGTGGGTCTTTTGTGATAGACACTGCATTGCACCTGCTTGGTCAGCTTCCAGCTTTGTTTTACCTTCCACATATAATTTCATTTTATGTTCCATTACCCATTACAAGCTTTTTCCTTTTTCTCAGTCACATCACAGTCGGGAAGGTCCTGTTGTTAACAGATGTTTCTGAGGGAGGGAAAAAATCAGTATCAAACAGCAGTAGTCTGCACAGCCAGCGGGTGGTGATAAATATGTAGGCATGTGGCTGCAGTCTAACAGGTTGTGTGCATGCAGCTCCACTGTGAAGTTTCCATAAGCTCATTATTGGCATTACCTCTGTTTTATATTTTGTGTTTGGGCTTTCATGAGGCAACTGAACTTTTCTTGTTTTAAGAATTAGGGTTGTACAACAACCCGTTTTAATTCATTTTAAACATTTAATGATCACATGTATTGTGGATGTTTTCTAATCCACTCGGGGTAAAACTTATCCAGTGAGGCTTCAGTATACAAACCTAGCCATCAACAAGCTTTTGGCATATGTTTTGCAAAGATATATGTCCAGACTATCATAGATAGTACATCTCATCCCTGGCAGTTAAATCGTACTCAGAATGTTGGTATAGGGTTTCCAGATGTACAAGCTTCACCTTTACTACCATCAAAAATTTATTTTGCCATTGAATCTAAACAAATCTACAGTCTCCTTGTCATGTTATTAGAAAGCATCTTGACCCCTCTGTTATATTCAGTCCAGTGGAGGCCACTATAAAGATTGAGTTACGAGGACTAGACAGTTCATTTACAACTAAGGAGGCTTCTATACTTGAGGTTGAGCTATGTCTGAAGGTAGAAAGAATAGAGAGGGGCATTTAGGAGAAGTGGTGCAGACTGAGTTAATCAAGGTGTGCAAGAAAATCTGAAAAAATGTACTGGTTCTGAGCTTGAACAGCAGGTTTAGAGGGGAATGTTTTGGAGAGTCTGAGTGGGAGGTGTTGCTGTGAGGTCTAGAGATTTTGAGGAGATTTCTATTAACCCTTGGTGAGTTAAAGTGGCCAGGCAGGTGACAGTTGGAGATAGGAAGCTGCATGGAATGTGAATAGTTTCAGAAAGGTGTGAGAAAACTAGAGGGTGGCATGGTAACCAAACTAAGCTTTAACCTGAAGGCAGGGAAAATTGTGTTTTTTTTTTGTCGTTTTTTTTTTTGCCTACCCTGCGAATAGGTTAAACCAAAACACATTACAGATCTTAGATGCAAAGCTACTATTCAGCAAGGTATTGGAAACAGTTTTCAGAGATTTCAATACAATGATCTCAGAGTCATGTTCAAGAAACCAGTATGAGTAGCATGCTGGAAGTACCCATCAGAAGATGGGTACACTGTAGTCATAAAGGGATAAGCATGTCATCAATGATGCTCATAGACTGTGGTGTTTATATAATTCTCAATTGGTAGTAAAGGGGCCCTAAGTGTGCAAAGAAAATATCCCCCCCACCATTAAACCACCAGCAGCCTAAACCATTGGTACAGTACGAGGCAGGATGGATTCAGGCTTTCATATTGTTGATGAGAATTTCTGACCCAACCACCCAAATGTTGCAGCAGAAATCAAGACTCATCAGACCAGGAAACGTTGTCCAATCTTCTATTGTCCAATTTTGGTGAGCCCGCCCAAATTCAATAATTTTCCTGTTCTTAGCTCACAGGAGTGGCAGCAGTGTGGTCTTCCACTGCTGTAGCCCCACCATCTCAAGGTTTGCAGTTTGTTTGTTCAGATATGCTCTTCTGCATACCTTGATTGTAAAGAGCTATTTGAGTCACTGTTGCCTTTCTATCAGCTCAGACATTATCTTCTGTCCTCTGGCATCAACCAGGCATTTGCACCCTACTGGAATTTTTTTTTAGACCATTCTCTGTAAACCCTAGAGATGATTGATCAGCAGTTTCTTAAATACTCTGCCTGGCGCACCCGGCACCATCAACAATGCCATGCTTAAAGTCACTTAAATCACCATGTCCATGTCTACATGCCTAAACACCCTGAGCTGCTGGGTGCTTGCTGGATTGTATTAGAACAAGTAACATTATATTGTATGTTATATTGGTATAACTTTAACACAGTCAGATTTTGCAGAACTGCAGTGGTCCTAAACACAGATCAAACATTTTTTAATGAATAGGCTGATGCTACCGGAAAGGGACATATAAAAATGTATAGACTATGCATAGGAGTAAGGTTCGTGCCTAGAATCCAAATACTTTAAATGAGTTCTGCCAAGTCTGGTAGAGTTAATCTAAGTGATCTTGCAATAATTTTGACATGACCTTGACTTAGAAAAAAAAGTAATGCATGTATAGTTTGGGTTACTGTATCTTTGTTCTTTCTTCTCCTAATTGTATCCTCATAAACATTTTATGATTATGATTTTAATTTGGTCTCTGGTCCTATAGGATGAGAAAAGTCCTCCATATAGAATTCAGCTAGAAACTTGCATCCAAAATCATTTATTTTATACATAAATATTTTTCAATACAGTACATATTCATACAACATCCCAAAATCGTATTTATAGCAACAATAATACAACATTCAATATGTTTTTGAAAAAGCAATAAATATCTTAACTTCTCATCATGTGTTAACATGCTTGTGTCCATACAGATGTATTAATGTGAAAGCATTAATGACTGCTATATTAGTATTTGTAAAAAAGGGATAACATATTTATTATTGTTTAACTCTCAAAAATAAGGTGTTTTATTAATAAAAAGTAAACTATATATTTTTAATTTTCAGCATTTTGGAGCGCTATGTTCAGGAGCAGGTAGTCGGGGCAAAGGTCATCGTGGAAACTATTGGGCCCCATCGGGATGGTGAAGCAATGGAGTTGGAAGATTACACCAAGTCAGACCTCATGATTTATGCCATCGATCCGCTGACAAACAGAGCTATATCCAGACAAGAGCTCTTCAAGTAAGAATTTTACTAAGGATTGAGTTATGAGACAAAGCACTTTATTCCAATACTAAGTAACTGGAGAGTACACATGAAAAGATCTTTATGTCTGATTCGTGTCATATTGCATGAAATAACTCCCAGACAGGCGTAATGTATGTGTCCAATAGTCCAAGTTAAGTTTTATGTGATGATGATTTACTAATAATTATATTACTTCAATATACAAGTCAATCTATGTCTTAATTTTTAAATTTTTTTTTAGGCACATTTATTTAAGAATGTGTTTTTTATTTTAACATTTTCTCAGTCATGAGAGGACAAAAAGATAATAGCCCCAGCCCTAGTGTCTCTTTTGATATTAAATAAACTGATTGACTAACAACTGTTGCATATTTCTCAATTCAAGGTTTCTTGATGGTAAACTGTTGGATATCAATAAAGAGTTCCAGCCGTTTCTTCCTCCTGGTGGCAGAATACTGGAAATCAGAACCCCTGAAGTGGTGGCCAGCGTAAAGAAAGCTGTTCATAGAGTTGGCTACACAGAGGGAGCACTCTTGGCTTTGGCTGTTATCATCATCATCTGCTGCGTTCCTGCTATTTTAATTGTCATTATAACATACAGACAGTAAGTATAATTTATATGTGCGTATTGGAGTAAAACGGATAGTGTAATCCAAAATAACGCTGACAGAATGACATCTGCAGATTCTAATTGGAGTATGTATAAACAAATATCCATAAATAGACCTGGCTAACAGTATCTGATCCCACTAATGGTTATTACCTGAGAAGCCAGTGCTGCAAGATATAGCTAATGGTAATATGCAATTTGGCGGAGCTGTTGTATATGTCGATAGAGTTCATTTATCATGATAAACTCAGGCAGCACAGTTTATTTCAAAGTAGCCTGAGGTTTAGCCTCTATCTCTGTGTATAGATCCACAGCTGAAAACTGTTTTTAAGAAATGCCTTTTTTCTATGTACAAACAACCTGAAAGCCATTGGAGGATCAAAGTTAGCCCCTTATCTTGGTTTGAAATGAAAAGAAGTTTATAATTGTTAAAATAATTTATGGTTAATATGAGTCTTTGAGCAGAGTCATCATCAGGTTGCAAGTCATTGGCCCAGATGATTCAGCGTAGCAGCCTGCTCCATAGGGGCAGTCGCTATAGTTTGTTTAGCTAACCACCGTGAAAGCCATTAAATTCCCTGAAATGCCTCTAAACAGCTGTGCATACACACATAAATTGGATCTAAGCCTCTCCTGCTGAGAAACATACAAATAACCAGTAGAGGAGTGGAGATCTAAGAGGTGAGGAGGAACAATGATAATCGTTATCACTATTATCTGTTGCTAAATGACTTTAATAAAGAGCAATTGCACAATTTTGCTCATAAATTAGGAGTAAATAAATTCTGGAAACAAAAGATGTGGTGTGATTTATGCTCTAAATAATCCCAATCTCTCTCTCCCTCTCTATTTCTCTATTTCTCTATTTCTCTTTTCTGCTGCATCATCCGCTGCTACCAGATTCAAAGAGTGAGTATCCCCTTTTACATTCCCTTGATAATATTAATGTCATAGCTGTCCCAGACACTTTTCACTGTGATTAATCAGCTGAGTTTTATTGGACTCCAGAATGGATTGATTGAAACGTGGCTGTGAAACAACATTGGGCAGCAGGCAATCAAAGAAATAATTCCTGAAGAACACTGAGTTCAGTTTCTGTTTTCTGTTTCCATTATCCACCCATCCTCCATCCACCCATTCATTCATCCAATAACCCATTCATCTATTCATCCATCTATCTATTCATCCATCCATCTATTCATCCATCCAGATATTCATCCATCCAGATATTCATACATCCATCCATCCACCCCTCCATCCATCTGTTCATCCTTCCATCTATCCATCTGTGCATCCATACATCTTTGCTTTCACCAATCATCCACCCCCTGCACCCATCCATCTATCTGTGCATTCAACCATCCATCCATCTGTTCATCCATCCATCCATCTGTGCACCCATCCATCTGTGCGTCCATCCATCCATCCTTGCATCCATCCATCTGTGCATCCATTCATCTGTGCTTCCATCCATCCATCCATCTGTCCATCCATCCGTCCATCCCTCTGTGCATCCAACAATTTCAATGAGAATACACAGCTGTAGAAGTCACTGGAAGTTTTTGATAGTGACCATATGTGCAGTTTCTCATCAATTACATTTTGAACACGTTTTTTTTATAAATTTTTGCAGGTTTAACTAATACAGATTTGGCACCTCCTCCTTGCTGCTAAGTACAGTATACAGTACAGAGAATATCTTATGGTTTCAAGCAAGAATAGACTAGATGGATGTTCTCCAAGCTGTTGAAGCAACTACAATTGGGCTATCTCTGTTTGGTATTACCATAAATCTGTTTTGGTTAATCTTATATTTTAAACTGCCACAACCTAGAAAATTAATTACAGTCAACACAGTTTTGCAAACTCAAAAATGATCAACACTTTTAGTTAGCTGAAGCTGGATGTTTGTAAACCACCTGCTAAAGGACTAAAAGGCAATTCACTTAGTGTTTAGTTATTCACTATAAATTACAGCTTCTCGTGTATGACGTCAGCTGATAATCCCTTTATGGAGAGATCTAATTATTTAAAATGCCATTCACCCACAAATGACAAAGCAGACCTGCTGGACACAGGTCCCAAAGCAATGAGAGTCCTGTGGCCTTTGTTTTTTAACAAAAATGTTTCACAGCAAGAGACATTAAAGAACCAAAACAACATTTGGTCCAGTTATAAGGGGAAAAAAATGTATGATTAAAAACAATGTGAATTTTAAAAAAGCTGCATTTAAACAACAGTATTTAATAATGTAATACTCAGATCTCTCAGAAATGAAGAGGAGGCACAAATTAAAACACAGGAACCAAAGCAATTGTAACAATTGCAAAGCAAGATGACTAAGATACTATTAGCCCAAATTACGGAGCAAAACCAAACACCGTAAAAAACCTGAGGTGAGGAAAACCATTGTGTGAGATACTGAAAACCTGCTAATGATGCTGGTCCTTTCCATTTAATTTAGCAATTTCAGTATTTATTCAAAAAACATAATTTTATGTTTAGCTTTATAGATTATATTTAAACATTTAGAAAATTAATATAATAACTATCAAGAAATTGAAAATTACAATCTCTCAAAAACAATAGGGCGATATTTCCATCATATACCATGTAGCCATTTTTTTCATATTGCTATGACAAACTTCAGTGCATTTATTAGGAATTTTGGTAATAGACATGTACAAAGCAGTATATATCCGTGAAGTTGAATGAAAAGGTTTCAAACTTTATGCTAAATACAAATCTAAAACTTTTTATATGCATACTGCATGTGTTTAGGCCCTGCTTGTCAACAATTTGTTGAACTGTCTTTTGTGGAATTATATGTACCGGTTATTGAAGTTTTGTGTGGGTCAATATATTAATTACAAAAGTCGTCACAGACTCTTAATTGAAGTAGATCTGAACTAGTTCTACAGCTAACGATTATGTTGCAAATTGTTTAATCTGTCGATTACTTTTTTGATTAATCTATTTATAATTGGATAGCCAAAGGTTCTTTAAGGAATATTTTTTTTTTTACAATGTTAAACCAGGAGAAGCTTAAACTTTTCCACTTGGGTAGTCCTGGATAGAGCATATTGATAGATGAATTTTTCTTTATTATTTTTTTTCTTTCTTGTTTTTTGTATAATGTTTTTAGTTTTTTTTATTTTTACAATTTTGATATAATTACTGTTCTAAGTGGGTCGCTCTGTCAGTTTAAGGCATGTTTTAGTGTCTCTATACTCTAAATCATGATTAATTGATAACTAATTTAGTTGACAAAAATTTCAATAATCAGTTAATCACGATTAATCCGAATAATTGTTTTAGCACTAATCTGGTTTTTGACTGTACCATTGCCACAAGTGTAATTAGATGGAAATATTGCAGTAGTAACTCCTTCTGCATTCTTCATGTCCTTTTTTGTTCCCTCTTATATATTTTACAACCTGCTTGAGTTTTTTTTTTTTTCCCACAGTTTCTTTCACAGCATTTCTTCCCTTATTTTTGCTGTGCCCACTATATGGTTTGAAGCTGCCTTATAGGGAGGATCCTATGGTTCTCTTTTAACATTGTTTTTTCTTGTCAGTCATATTGATTTCCTTCCACCTCAAAAGTGAAAGTTTGCTTTGTGATAGTGTAGTATACAAGATCTCAAAATATATGCTGATATTAGGTTTTGTACCATAAATAAAACTTGACAGGAAAAAGATCTCTCCTGGCTATTTTTCAAACATCATACCACTTTGTATGATTGGGTTTAGCTCTAGATTTTAAATATTTTTTCATAGTGTGTGTTTTTTCTTTACTGCTGTGACCAGGCGACAAGCTGAGTGTGCTAAAACAGCCCGTATCCAGATGGCACTGCCAACAGGCAAACCCGGGGGAGGCACTGCCAACAACCTGTATGAGGAGCTTGGTGACAACGCCATGTAAGTGAAGTGTGAAAGTGGCATTTACATTAATAAGTCAAAGCAGAGGCATTAGCTCACACTTTCAAAGCCATTATACTTGAGATTTTGGCTGCATGTCAGCTTGTATAGCTTTGTAGTGCCTCCAAGTGCAGTTTGCTGAATTTTAAAAACAACTGTGAAAAATGCTTCTACAGTTAAAAGTGAATACTTGATTTTTCTACAGATTAAAAGGTTTTTCACAAATTCAAAGTTGGTAAAAATCCCTGTAATTGGCAAATATTGCACACAAGTTAAATGAAAAAATTTCAATAGATATATATCTATATAGACAAATAAAAAACAACAGAAATTCATCAACTTTTATATAGTTGTTTACAAAGGTATTTATCCTCTGGACATTTCTTTGCATTTTGTTTAACTATGATTAATAAGGTAGGTGCATTTATTAAAATCTTTGTGTGAAAGACTAGTGACACTCACTTAATGATTTAGAAGTGGATTTAGAAGGGGATGAAAAACCAAGAAGGTGGTGGTACCTTTATAGAACCAATATCTACTCAATGGTCATAGGATTGATTATCTAAAATAAGCAAAATTACAATCGCAAAAAAAATACCTTGTTCAATACATTGTAGGCTAAAAACTTTCAGCTGTTATGTAGGTAAGGTTTGCTTTCCAATCAGATAAATAGTAAGTTAGATAAACTTACTATTTATCAGGAGCAAAACCAAACACCATAAAAAACCTGCGGTGAGGAAAACCATTCTTCCTATTAGCCTACATCTTCTTATTAGCCTAAAGGCCAGGGAGAGTTGTGTAATTTTATTTGTGTTGTTGAAAAATAAGTATAAAATGTATCAATTCATAATTATACTCTACTTTGATCTGGGCTTTTATAGAAGATAACCACTATAAAAACACAATTGCTATTTCTTTCATTGTTTTAACTTGACAAAATTTCAAAAAAGTACTTGGATTATGAATATGTTTGCAAATATTTCTACAAATTTTATTCAAATTGTCAACTTTGATTATTTTATTGTAAACACTTATAAACACAGCTAACACTTAACAATAAAAGGAGACCATTTATTAAAGTATAACATTAATCAGTAATAAATTAATTAATGTTTAATAATGATTTATAAGATGCATATAAACCATTTGTACCGGTAATAGGTAAATAAATAATTTCACCACTGCCATTTTAGGTTATCTCTACCCCTAACATCCATGGAGTTAAGATCTGAACCTAGATTTTATTTTAAGTTTTGTTTGCCCTAGTCATGTTGGTCTTACCCTTAACCTATCATCAGTGGGCTTAATACTTTATTACATGATCTATTTACCTCTAATAAATGGTTAAGATGTAGTTTATAAATGATTATCAAATATTAATAAACTATGTGTTAATCATTTGTAAATGGTCTCTTTACAATTTATAAATTATGGTGTCTGTTAAGTGTAAATTCATTTTACGTGGGCTTGCAAACACACAACTTTGTAGTCTGTTTTACTGAGACAAAACTTGATGAAATTAAAACAATAAGTTCTCAAGTGTGAGCAGTTTCTACATTCATCATTTGGCTTCCAACTATAAATTTATATTCCTTTTTGTAGACCTGACTGAAAAGTATAATACCTTTAAACTGACATTTACAGACAAATTACTATTACTACAGTGGCATTATACTTTATGACCGACCAAGACTTGTCATACAGGACAACTCTGCATTATGCTGGCAATGTAAAGAATTGATAAAGCCAGAAGTTGTAGCTCCTCAAGATTTTTATTAAATATAATTTATTTCTTTTCAGTTTTACTCTTTTCATCCATAGATTGATTAATAAATTAATGTAAAGTTGATTTTTCCTATCAATCTACTGATGATAATGTGATTAGTGTCCATTTTCCTAAAAAAAACTCTGAGTGGTCTTGATGTATCAAGAGGACTTTTCACCAATATGAAGGTAAATTTTGCTTCACTAAAACCTTCACAAATCATTTTGTAACAATTTATTGTGCCAACTGTATTATATACTGAATAAACAGAAACATTTCTCATACGCTATTAAACTTATTTATAAAATCTTTAAAAAAAATATGTATAGCCAAACAGAAACCTATTAGGTTACTGAATAAAAAAATAAAATATGTCAAACACAATAAAGATAATAATACTTTTAATAATTATTAAAAGCCAGCTCAATATTAAAAATTGTAATAATAATAATCATTTTATTTTTTATGTATATGTTATTCAGCCATGTTGGGGTCTCCAATCCACACCTGGAACATTCTAACTATACCAAATTCCATCATTTTTAAGCAGGTTTAGAAGCCCTGTGTGTAGCTTCTCAAAAATATGAAGCTTTGCTTAATTTGTTCATTTATAATTCTTCCGAGATGCTGAGAAGAAGTATAGAGGAATTCTTATCAGCATTACATGCATCGCTAGTTTCCACTGTCCTTGATATGCCTCCATATTCCTATTAACATAAGAGCAATTCATATGCAAGATGGTGGAAAAGTATCTGCAAAAGACAAGTGTGTGTGTTTGTGTCTGCTCATGTGAAATCACTAAAGCCTGTGCGATCCTTTGAAATATGTGTGCAGAAACAAACTTGGATATAAGATAATTGATATAAATGCGGCTTGTAATTTATAAAGACCACCTTGGGCAAAAATTAATTCTGCTGATAAGCTGCAGTGAGTATTCAATTGTGGCAGGATAATGTTTTACCGCAAGTGGGAGTGTTTGCAGATAAGTGAGTTTGGGGTTTTGTGAAATACTTGTGTGCTCTGTGTTATTGCTATCCTTTAGGGAATGAATCTCTGAAATGTGTTATATCAGACAAAATGCAAATGATAGCACATTTAGAAATGACTCTATACCAAAGGTCTTCAGTAGGTTAAAGCCTTTCTTTTCATTAATTTTGGTTGTTCTCTTAATAAGGTTCTTTTTTAGCCTTTATTCACATTAACATTGAAGAAATTATTTCCTTCCCCCATGAAGAACAATGAACGCATATGATCAACACAATCATGATATCGTTTAACAAAACAAATCATATTAACTATAAGCATGTGAATTTTATCCTATATGTGAGACATGTAGTTAGTACATTTTTATCCAGCAACAGCTACACTTTAAGAACTGAAATAGAGATGCTGCTTGCCTATTTCAATTGTTTTTATGTTAGATTACAATCATAAATAATGGTTTCATGCTGAAAAAAGCGGGTTAAATTGTAATCAAATAACAAGAAGAAATAGTAAAACGCTTAAAGAAAAGGAATTGATTTCAACATAATGATATCACTTTATGTCGAATAGGTTTATAAAGTAATTAATATTGTCCATGATTGCTTTGTATATGAGAATTTGTTTTTTTTCTGCTATTGGACTCTGAAGTTTGTATTAATTCTAACCTACTGCACTGCACTAAAATTAGTGTTATTAATACTCTAGCTGGCTATATTTATTAAAATCTGCTTAATTAATGTAAAGAAATAAAAATATGTTTCAGTTATGTCAACTGGTTTCATTAAGCTTAATTGTTTAACTGCAACATGAGTATATTGAATTCCATCACTGAAATTCAATAGTGTTAATGCAACTCAAAAATATGAATAAAACTGAAGTAAAATTAAATAATGATATGTTAACTGTTAAATTTATCTTAAGTTATAAAATCTTAAGTCTTATTTTTCTTAATCATGTTTTTAAAAATAAATATATACAGTAACACATAACTTAAGTAAATTTAACATATAATTTTTTTATGTATGTCATTTTTGGTGCATGGAGTCCAACATTCATGGGGATAATAGGCTCTTCTAGGATTTTTTTCTTGGATTTGTGAACTTGTTATCGGTACTCAGTGTTTCACTGGTAGCATGGAGCCCATTTTGCGATAAGAAAAAGTTTGGAAACTTCAAATAGATTATTTAGGGGTTAGTTAAAGTTGGATTATTGTCATGCTAACTCAACAAACAGTATCTAAAAATTTATAACATGTAAATTCGAAGAAATCCACCTGAAGACAATGACGTGTGGTTTTCACTATTACCGTATTTTCACGACTATAAGGCGCACATAAACGTCTTTTTTTCCCCTCAAAATTTGCGGTGCGCCTTTTGGTGCGGTGCGCCCTATGTGTGTTGTAACTGCGACTTTTGAGACCACCTCATTGAGGAGATGATGAAAGAGTGGCTGAGGGAGGTGAATGTAAGGAGACCAGGTGGTTTTTTTTCCACTCATCACCATCGCTGTTAATCTGACTCCATGCGTGCCCATCTCACAGCTGATGTGAAAAACATGGTGAAACAAATTAATGCTGTGCTCGCTGTGAACCGGACGCAGCAGGTGCAGAAGAAGCAGCGAGTTTACATGCAAAGTCAATGGTTGACGAGTGTATAGACGCAGCAAAAGGTCCCGCAGCACGTTTTGAGCAGCAGGCGCAGCGCGCCGCCAACGCGCTGCTGCTGCGCGAGATGGAAAAATTAAAGTTTTGCTGCTGGAAGCGCCGCATCAACGAATCAGAGAAGCTGATCTGGGAGCTCACAGCGAGACAGACACATCGCTCTGATGACATATGATATTAAAGCAAATGAAAGGGCTGGATGGATGAGGAGATGATGAAAGAGTGGCTGAGGCAGGTGTATGTGAGGAGACCAGGTGGTTTTTTCCAAGCATCACCATCGCTTTTAATCTGTGACTCCATGCGTGCCCAACTCACAGCTGATGTGAAAAACATGGTGAAAAAAAATAAACGCTGTGCTCGCCGTTATCCCGGGGGTCTGACAAAGGAACTTCAACCGCTGGACATCGGTGTGAACCGGCCGTTCAAAGTAAGGCTGCGAGCGGCGTGGGAGCGATGGGTGACAGACGGAGACCACAGTTTCACGATAAGTGGAAGGCAGCGCCGGGCAAGTTACGCCACCGTTTGCGGATGGATTGTAGATGCTTGGACTAACGTGTCTGCTGGTTCTGTTATTCAAGCTTTCGCAAAAGCAGGCATTATTTCTGAGGAGCCGCCCGGCACGGAAAGTGACTCTGACAGCGAAGAAGAGGAAATTGGCATATCTGATTTAGCGCAGCTGTTTAATTCAGAAACAGAGGATGATGACTTTGATGGGTTTGATTAATACTTTGTAATAAATACATGAATACAGCACAATCATACTCAGTTTTGCTCCTGCTCTATTTTTCTACCTGAAAACTTAATTCAACAGCAGCATCTGGGCAGGGTTCACCGCGGCGGCTGGCAGGTGTTTTTCATCTAAATAATCTAAATCTTGCAGCTATATTTGCTGTGATCAGTGGGAATAAAGTAGTTTTAATATGTTCTTAAGTGAGAAAGTCCACCTGAAAACGTAATCATTGCAGTCAGTTCATCCAGATTATCTATTTCTGTCGGAGGCGCTCAGACCCCCACATACCAGCGGTACACCGACAGTAGAAATCCCTTCATCAGCAGCCTCTAGGCTGGGCAGCCTGCGGGTTCACCGCGGTGGCTGGCAGTTTTTTTTCATCTAAATAATTTAAACTGCAGGCACCAGGATACCGGTAATAAAAGCGAACATATTCCGTCGGCAGGTTTCAGGATTTTAAGTTAATTTAGGAGTAATCACAGTGCTCTTTCATCAGCGATGTGTCTGTCTCACGGCCAGCTCCCAGGTTTGATTAATACTTTGTAATAAATACATGAATAAAGCACAATCATACTCAGTTTTGGGCCCGCTGTATTTTTAAATACGCAGTAGAGCTATTTAAAAGTAGTAGAGGACATGTACCTGTATATAAAAAACGAGCCCTATAGTCCGGTGCGCCTTATGTGTGTGTTAAATACAGAAATGGCACACATACCTTAGACTGCGCCTTTTAGTACGGTGCGCCTTATGGTCGTGAAAATACGGTATACTTGCAATTAGACCAAGCTGGTCTTTGCAATATGTGTTCCATGAGAACAAATGTGTTTCTCCATATTTGGGTTATTGAGTGAGATTTCTCCTAGAGGTATTTGCTGACATCTCGCCAAAATCAGCTGTGGATCTAAAACCCAGTGTTTACTTGGCCTAACTGTAAAAACGCAAAACGTTTTTCTTAATCTGTGATGCATTAGTGTAGCTTATGATGCAGATGTAAATTGCATGTGTGTTTGGCAGAATGGTGTACAATTTTAGTGTGATACTGCTGCATAAGGAAAGACTAAAGTACCTACGCCAGGACTATATTTTCAGAGGACTATTTCATGCTTAATTAGCACCTGACCATCTGGAGAAAAACGTGTGTGTTTTCTGAACAGTCTGGCTGCCCCAAGTATCAGGTTATTCATTAACTGGACTGTATGTATATTTAGATGCACATATGGGTCTTACATATGTCTGAGTTGTAAAAATCATGTATCTGAGTTTTCAGCATGTCTTAAATATCCAGGCTGTATGAACATCAACTTTGTCATATGTCAAAGTTCTTTGATGGTGTGAAGAGTTTAAAATATTTATTGTCATAACAAAGAACCTACAAATGTCATCCATGAATCGTTCTCATATATTCATTATCTTAAGACTGCTCTTTATTATCATCTGCTCATTTTCCTTTGTTCCCATCATCTTTTCTGCTTACATCTGTGCACAATTTTTCATGGCTGAAAGACACAAGTAAGATGTAATATTGCTTTATGTCTGTTAGTAGTTTTTAAAAGAAAGTAACATTCCTGCCCCAATTAGTTGTGTGGTTTTGCTTGTTAAGTGATTTGGTTTGTAGAGGAAGTAGAAAATGTGAGAACACAGAGTACAGATGTATGTTTCGGGTGTTTTTCAGTGAGTTTGTAGTGCAGTCATGTTGTCTGAAAGATGAAGTAGGTAGTCATGTGTTATGGCAAAGTTTTCACAGAATTAATCACATTTTTATATGTAAATAACATATCACTGTGGAGAGCATGATCAGTTTTTTGTTGCGCCAAAGTTCTGCTCTATTCGTGTTGTGGAATATTACCACAACAAACTTTAGATCTAACTGTATTTTGAATCCCTCAAAGCCTTGTTGGCTTAAATAATAGATAACTAACAGTATTGTCAAGATCGAGTTACACTTCAAGCAGCTATTCCAAAGTATGCCATAGTAAGCAGAAGGAGGATAGAAACAATGATTCAGACTTTTAACATATTGTCTCATCATCATCTGACACCTGGAAGGACATGACAAAATTGCAAACCTATTAATTAGCTGCACAAGGAGAGCTTTGATCAGACAATTAGCAGAGGCCCATGGTGAATTTGGAGGAGCTTCACAGATCCACAGCTCAAAGGGGGGGACATGTCTGAAAATTACCTGACTAATTAGTCATCTTATACATAGGTGTTTGCCAAAAGCAACATAGGGGAAACTGTAAATTTATGAGTGGGGAAATAAAATATACATTTTTGTATAACATAAAAATATATATTTTACACCACCTAATGTAACAAGTCGGTAAAAGAATCAAGCTTGAAACTTGTTGGAGATTGCTTAGACTATAGATTTTTGACAAAGTTTCTACAGGATGAGTACACTTAACCGCAACCAGATGGAATGGTTTGTTAGTAATAATTTGTATTAATCATAAAGACTTTCTATATCAATTCATTTTATTTGTATGGAGCTGATTCACAACCCATGCAATCTCAAGGCACTTTACAGAGACAATTTAACCAGAATATAAAGTCAGATTGGTTCAAAGTTTTCTTTTTTAGGAAAACCAGTCGATTGTATCGACTTATTGACTCGACAGCAATCCTTCCCACCAAGCATGTTTGTAGTGACATTGGAGAGGAAAACCTCCCTTTTAACAGGAAAAAACCTCCAGCAGATCCAGGCACTGAACTGTTACTAAACCTTAGGCCCCGTCCACACGAAGTCAAACCCTGGCCTAAACGCACAAATTTTTCACCAAACTCTCATCCATACGAAGCCGGGGTTTCGGGGTCTGAAAACGATCTTTTTTTATTAAGCCTTCAGAGTGGGAAGATTTTGAAACGCCGTTTTCGCGTTTCCATCTTTAAGGTCTGACCGCATTTTTTTTTTTACACGCATGTGTCATAGCGTCGCCTCTAAACACGCATGCGCGACACAGTATCACAACAACAATGGCGCCGTACTGTGTTGAATGGTTGCTGCTCATGCTACTCACCCTGCTGTCGGGCTTACAACAGAATCTTCTTCTTCTGGAATATCTCCAGGAAGAACAGAGCAATATCGACGACATAGTTCAGCACCTGAATTTGACTGAACCACAAAAATGGACCCACAGGGCCATTTTACGGTTTTCCGGTTTGGTTGTTGTATAAATATTACTGCGCATGCCCAACATTTCGTTGCCTGTTTTCGTCTATTTTTGCTTTGGCACCACAGCGTAGAGCATGTAACGGGCCTTGAAAGTCAGCCCGAAACCGACCCGAGTCCGAAAGAACCAGGCCCGTGCCCGACCCGGCCCGTTATGATTGACAGCTTCGTAGAGCCCGACCCGTTTGCAGCCCGACATTTTTCAATTGTGCGCATTAAGGGCGAATCTCCGTTTCACTTCTGTAACATCCATTTTGCATTCATTTGCATTCATCACGTATATATCGAACGTTATCACATGATCATTTATTTGCCGCGCATATAACGGTTTAAAGCCCGAGCCCGGCCCGGCCCGAATGAAATATGTAAAAAGTACAGCCCGAACCCGCCCGGTTCGGGCTAATATTCCCTGCTCTACCACAGCGCCACTTACAGGCCTGGCATACATATTTTGCAGCGTTTTCATGCATTCGTGTGGACGATCACATTTATTTTACGTCTCCGTCTTTACGACAAACGTTTTGGAAAATATTAGCGTTTCGTGTTCGTTTTGACTTCGTGTGGACCGGGCCTTAGACTTGCTGAACCTTAAATACCTCGGTTCTAAAAGCCATTTATACTCCTCCGTTGTTATATATATTGTTTTTCCTTCTAAAATGCTATAAGCTAAGGTCATTATTACAGTTTAATTTTTTATGTAGTCTCCCTCAAGAGTCAATTTAGTATTAGCACCTCCAGAATTTTTTCAGGTATTTTTCTTTTTTAAAATAATTATCTTTATTGACTTAAGTAACAAAGGCAGTTTTTTAAATTCACAAGAACGCGAGAATGGTTTTGTGTCCTTGCAAAAAATTTTCTTGAGAAGAACAGGAAAGAATGGAGTAGGGGAGAATGGGAGCATGCAGCATAAATCTGGGTCAACTGGAACTTAAGCTTGAGACGTCACCACACGCTTGGCTCGTCTAGAGCTGCATTTCAGCTCTTGTTATTAAAAGTCTCTAGATAATAATAAATTCTTACTTTTTTCATTTAGTAGGGGAATAATAATTTACACAGTTAGATTAACACAAATCAAATTAATAATTTTCAAAATAAACACAAAAAATTGCAATCAAAGCCAAAGGTACTTCACACACGGCTATGCAGAGAGAGAGGGCTGTTGCAGATGGGCTAACTTTAGACCTAGCTGCGGTTAGCCTCGGAGGACCTCTGGTTGCCACCGTCCTCTCAACATTGGATCTTATTTTATAATTATGCGCTAAATCAATAAATGGGCCATATAGTGAGGCTTGAAAGTATAATAGTCTCGCCCATGAGAACGCACAACACACATATTGAGAAACGGCCAAGGTCATAAGGCCTGAGGCTGGTGGGATGGAACGAATGTGGGCAGAAAACAAGTATAGAATAATAGTTACTCTTCCCAAGAACTGGATTTTATTAAATGGAGCAAAACAATCTGTAGCAAGTAAGCAAAATTTAAGTAAAATTACATTATCTTAGTATGATCTGTCATGGAAAAGTTTCTATCCAAGAACAGTTAATGCAGACATCCCAAGTCTCCGGGAATTCTGGGAGTCTCCCTGATATCGATAGTTGTTAACGGATTTCCAAGAGTCAGATAAATTATCTTGTATTTTAGACTATGTGAGTTGGTGTTTTTTTAATGTGAGTAAGAGCGTGCAGGCAATGCATGCTGGTGACATGTTGGTCGTGTTGCTGTTAGCATAAACAAAACGTGTTGCACAATGCTTGCACACTGTTGCACTTTTATCCACAACTTTCTTTCCGCCGTCCTCGTAGGTCACTCTAAATGCAAAGTGGTCCCATACAGCAGACCTATAAAGTGCTGCTGGCGCGTCTTCCAACTCCTGTTCTTTCCCACTTGTTATACCCACACAATTCTCCACAACAACGCGAATCGAACCGAGACAGTCGAACCGAACAGTTCGGACGGTTTTCATAAACCGTTCCATCCCTAGCCCAAAGTGATGCTCTGTTCAACGAGCGTTCCAGAAAACTAGTTGTCAGAGAGCTCGCTGATGAATTACTCAGAAAAATAAGCCAATAAGTTTCAGTTTACTCTCTGACAGTCACCTGGTTACAACTCGGTGGGGTGTTCGATAAGCATCTCTTTAAAATTAGCTTTTGGAAATTGGGATGTCGGGTTAATGGTGAAGATGATTTGGTCAGGTTTATGAAATGTTTCTTTTACAAGTATCCATTAAAATCGGATTGTTGTTTTAACTTACAGAGCTGTTACAATTATTTTATTTTTTCTAGGACAAGAGAGTCATAAAAATATTTACCAGACAACTGGTGTGAACGTCCCTTCAGTAAGATATCTTGAGTGAGCAGACTAAACTCTCCAACCCAATAAATGAGCCGAAGTATGACCTTCGGAAAAACAGAGCCCTGCCCTCCCAGAGTCCATAACCATTATAGTAAAAAGATATAACACAAACTATAACTTCACAGTAACAAGATTATTAAAAAAAACAAACTCCAACTCCAGCATGAGATTTAGTCATATGCTCAGTCAAGTCCAGAGATGAATCAAACTGACAATTTGTGACAAGACAGGTGAAAATCAAACTTCCTGCATGAGTTCCACAGATGGATGGGAAGTAATGTCTACTTTCCTTTTCTGTTGATAATCTGTCAAACTATCTCATAACATTTTCATATACTGTAGTATTCATAGCTTTGTGATTTTTAGAATTTAGAACTCCTTAACAAGGCCCTGTACCCTTGACCCTTCCTAAATATTGTCTTGTTTGTAGATATACTGATGTTATACAGTTAACAGAGGTGGATAATCCAGGTCACGAACGTGAAAACTGTCCTGTTTACTTGACCAGGTGATACATTTTTAGTCTGTGCTGTGGAGATGGAAATATAAATGTTTGGACTTAATTTCAGTATCTATTTATTTTCTACACCTGGATGATCCACCTTGCATATTGTGCTTTTGTGCCTTAGACCGTTTTTTCTGTCTTTTATCTCTTACCGGTATGTTATTTTATTTTCCTTTATGAAACCTTGACATAAAGTCTGTTGCAAGTACATTTACCAGAACCAAATCATGCCAATTCCAACCAATTTTCCGATTTATAATTTGCTTTCCTATTCTTTTGTTTTTTTACTGAACCTAGTTTTCTGCAACATACCCTTCAGGTTTGATAAAGTGTATGTTAGCTCTTCTCGTATATGTGTATTTATAACTGTAAATGTATATATATATGTTTATATACAACATCATTCATATTCATAATTCTCATCTATATTTTCTATGCAATTCTTTATTTCTCCCTACATTTTTTTTCTTCCATTTCAATCTCTTTGCATCTATCTATCAGCCGATCAAAATGTGTTGGTGGCAGCAGCATTGGCAGCATAGATGAAAGCGACCGCCAGCGCCTGATCTCAGACTTCGCCACACGAGCTATCGCTGCCCATCGGCAGTGCCTTGCTAATGGAGGGGTAATTAACAAACTCCCCAGATCTGAATCCAACATCACCTTTCTCTCTGATGAAAACCCTAGAACTACCAAAAATCCCATTTACCATGAGGATGGTACCATGAGTAGCCCTGAAAACATTCAGAGCAATCAGAGAAGGAAAAATCTTCTAGGGAATTTTTCCCCTTCTCGGAAAGGCCTTCAAGAGGCCTGGATGAGGCTCAGCTCACCTGGAAGTGATTTGGGATTTAGGGGATACGATGGCAATGATAGCGGATGGGGATCTGGAGGTGGGCACAGCTGGACTCTCCCATCCAGGTTCCATAGAAGGGAAATGTACGATGCTTTGAGACGTCAAGTGGTGATGGATCCTGTGCAGTGGGAGCATGAGCTTTTAAAGGCTGAATTTAAAGAAAGCAAAGATGCTGGTCTGGATTCAGGCTTTGACCATGGATTGGATTCAGATGCGATAGGAAGCCCAAGTCTTGAGCCAAAGCTGACGGTGAAGGAACAAGCCAGACAGTTTGAGCAACAGGCTCTTCAGGAAATGAAACAGAGGCAAAACAGAGATTCCAGAGGCTCACTGTCTTCTGATATCCTACTTTCAGCTATCACAGACACTCCTCAGCATCAGAAGTACAGTCCCTTGCATAATGCTCCAATTTCTCAAATGGTGGAAGGTCCTCCGAGTATCATCGTCACTCAAAGTGATGGAGGAACCCCTCCACCGAGTCACAAGCCAACACCTCCTGTACAGAGACGTTTTGGAGCAAATCTAACTGGAAATACTGCTGCAGAAGAAAGACTTCAGGTACATTTAGAGGTGATTCCAGATCCACCTTCAACACCTCCACCACCACCTCCATCGCCACCACCTCCACCTCCAACCTCTGCTCCTCCTCCACCTCCCTCACCTCCACCTCAAAGTCACACTTCCTCTCTCCCTCCTGGCTCTCCAGTTTCCTCTAACTCCATCCATAATAGTGCTTCTACTCCTCCACCTCCACCACCACCTCCACCACCTCCCCCTCTACCTCCTCCTGTGTCGCCTTCCCTTGTACGTCCATCCATGTTTGTCCTCCCTACTCTCTCAGAGGCGCCCGTGCTGCGGCCTGTGTCTCTCCGGCCGCCACCGCTACCCCTCCCCACAGAGCCCGACCCTCCTCGAAAGGAGCTGAAGGGAATCTTAAAGAACCTCCAAAACATAGCCGATATCGAGAAGTCTGTGGCAAACATGTTTAGCCAGATAGACCAGAAACAAATTCCACTCAAAAAGGTAATGAAGAGCAGGGCTTCAGTGGATTCTCTAGATTCCCTTGACTCTTTGGATACCATGGTGGTTGGGAGAGAGTCAGAACACGGAGAAGGAGGCGGTGAAGGGGAGAATAATCCCCTAATTCCGAACATTCCAAGTCCAAACATGAACTCTATTGTTGAAGAACTTGAAAAGCGGTTCCCTTCTCAATCTACAATGCTTTAGCCTTTGTATTTCTAAGAAGTTTTCTTTAGCATTACTTTCTGATGAGGAGCTGTGATGTAACAAACTAAAATGAGATCATTTAAAGAGTTGACTTCCAATATAGTGTGATTGTCCTCTTCCGAAAACATCCCTGTGTTCTTCATAAGAAGTAAAGAGAACCTAGTATCATACAACTCTTTGCCTAAAACTCATCTCCCTATTTGACATGAAAAGATATAAACTAAAAACAAGTACTGAACCTTTTTTTTTTTTTTATCTTAAGGTGAATCTCATTAACATTTTATGCTCTGTCCAAATAAAAACCAATTCCATATTACTAACAATCCATGTATTTCTCACAAAAATTGAGTTTTCTATAGAAAGTTATTCATCTTTCAGGGCAGAAATTGTTTCTCTCTTTTGTACTCAGGCTCAAAAAAACAAAATGTCTTAGATATGAATTTTAAGACTCAAGACTGAACTGTGTTAATTCACAGAATGCAGCTCTTACAGTATTTGTGTTTTCTGTAACAGGTGAGATTGGTTTATTAATAGGAATGCTGTAAAACATTGTTTATGATCCATGATATAATTCATACCATACTTCTTGTAACTTCATTATTTCAACCTAATAGATTTTTGTAAAACTGAGCAGTATATTGAATAATTTGGAGTAAGTAAAAAGAAATAATAATTTTAACTCTTAGTACCAATTAAACACTAGCTGATAAACTAAGAAGATTCCAATAAATACAGCTTTTTTGTTGCTTTTCACAGCGTAAAAGAGTATTGTGTTTGGCTCATATAGCAACTTGATATTCTTTCTCACTGTTTACATTGTGCCTCACTTTATATTTTGTAATTACCTTTTGAGCAATTTTGTTGTTTTGATGTAAAACCACACGTTTAGGATACAGATAATTAACAGATTTCCTGGATGTTCTGCAAAACTCCTGCTTTAGAGAAAAAGAAAATGCTGCTGCAATAAATAGGGAAGGAGTGAACACTTTTACACATAAATAAAAGGGCGTCTGCTATCTTATAACAAATGCTTCCTGTTCTTCAAAATAAAATAAGTGATGATATACTTATACAGTGAACCACCAATGACTGGTATTGATTTGTTTTTTATTGTTATGTTGACATGCATGCTTTCTTATATTTCTACTTTGCTAGATAATAAACTAAATCAAATTTTGAAAGGAAACAAGTTCCTGCATAATTATAGCAATTTTATACAGTTTTAAATAGATTTTTATTAAATGCTGTATTAAAACTTGAAATCATGTCATTTCAGCCTGCTAGTAAAAATTTCCTTCATTACACAGAAAAGTAGCTAAAAGTAGATTAATGGAAAATATAAATAATTACAGAGCACAAATTTTGTATTGTTTTGAATTTGCTAGTATTTGGTCATATTTCATATAAGTTGACATCTGTTTTAATCTGTTTCAATGTTGGTTGACATTTTAATTTTTACTCTACTTTGTTTCTGTTGTTTTTTTTTTCTTTAAAATTCCACCCTTTTAAAGTTATGCTTGTCTTTTATGACTTATTCCTCATATTTTCCCATTTATTATATTGTTTTATTATTTCTGGTTCTCCATAGCTAAGTGGCCACAAAGTTTGTTTTATTTCTTTTGTGTATGTGTGTGCATGTTTCTGTTATTTCTGTTTTTATAAGCACATATTTGTCTTTTTCTTTATTGGCTTGTTAGTTTATCAATGCTGTTTAATTAGTATTTTAGTTCATTATTTGAACCTATAGTTTTTGTTTTCTGTTCATGTATTAACGTTGAATGTTGCTACTCTGTCTGTTATTGTTTTCTGGGTAAGAGCTGTTTATTTCTAAGCAGCAGAACAGAAATATTTGAATATTTAATTAGTTTTTTTATTGTAATTTATTGCAATAAATTTTAAAACAGTGTTGTCTAGACTGTTTTATTTAGCTTGGTTTGAATCATATAAGCCTCGTTTGGGCACTTGATATAATATCTTATTTTTTTCAATTAAATATTTAAGGTTGAGTAGATTAATTTGAAAGATCTAACTGTCTTATAGTTTTTATGACAATAAAGACAGGGGTGTATTTGTGCCATGCATGAGACTTCATGAGACCATGGCTCTTTAATTTTAGAAATAGACCTCCGGTTAGTGTAGAGCAGCCATACGCAAAGTAACAAAACATGAAAATAACAGTGAAAATAACTGGGATTATAATTTTTTCATAGTGAAATTTTAATGCCATATTTAATTTAATGTGATGTGAAATTTTTAAATAGAGCGTTGTTATTAAATATATCATTTTTCACAGAAAATGGGAAAATACACATGTTACAAAATATTTTTGAGTAAATGTAAACTGGACAAACCTTAGTAAAATATATGTACTAGAATTGATTTCTTTTCATGCTGATTTTAAACATTGCTTTTTGTTTTTAATGAGCATAGAAAATTTAAGCTTCTGCTCTTTAAAATAGAAACCTTTGGGTTTTTTTGTTTTCTTTTATTTACTTTTATTTTTTATTCATTTTTTAAGAATAATATAAACAAAAATAAATGAAAAAATGAAATACAAACCTTTGTAATGATTTAAATATTTCTGTACGGTTTCCAAAGGTTCTTAGATACTACAGAAGAAGAGCATTTTAAGAGAATACTGGACAATTTGTCATCTAGAAGGTTGCTGTGGGTTTATTTAAAGGAAAGGAACTGCATTCAAAGAAATGTTAAGGCGGGTTTTTAGGAAGTGCTTTACAGAGATGTCGTTTGTGACTGCTCATGAAAAATGCTTCTTTGGTTTAGTTTTATGGGACTTAGTCATGGTGAGCTGGCTTTTAATTCAAAGTAACAAAATGTAATGGTTAAAAATTCCCATCTAAGTCATTTTAATGACTTACAATGCATAAATTATTCAAACTGCTTTAACTCTTTTACATTTTTTCATGTAAAAGAGTGCTGGTCAATCATCTTTAGAAAATAAAGTGTTTGACACAACTGGAAACCCACAACATCATGGCATCCACCCACACGGACAAACTTTGCAGGGAGAGAATTAATCAAAGAAGCTGCAAATATCTTTGTCTTGTTGTTGTTTGGGCAAGCTGTAGAGAACCGTAGCTGAGGTGATTGATGGATTACTTTTGGGACTGTTAAGGAATGTAGGGGAGAGCTTAGATAAAGGGCATTTTATGGTGATATATAATGAAAGGCCTATTTAAAGTGTCACATATAGGACTGCTCCACAATCTAAGGGACGGTTGGTGTTGCTAGTTGGTAGACGGACTGAAAACAAACCAAAACAGGCAAAAATGTAGCTTATTGTATGTGTTTGTATTTCTAAATCATTAAAAACCCAGTATTTTAACTTGTGTGTTTGCACTAATTAGATCATCTTTTTACTCAAGGTGCCCTGCCTCCACTTCCTCATAATCAGTTAAGCAGGGTTTTTTTTATTGTCAGCAAATTATTTTTGGTAATAAAACAGAAGAAAAAAAAAAGATAGTTTTTCAAAAACTTGTGCTTTATTTTGACACAAATGTCAAAGCTGATATGTGAGTCACTTAGCTAGAAAGTTGTACGGTCTCATAAAGCAAAAGGCTTGTTTTTGAAATGAAATGTCAAAAGTGAAAACTGGAAAAAGACGTTTTGCTAAGCATTACTCTGCATGTCACTGAACTACATCACACTGATTGACGTAGAGCATCGTCCCATCTGCTCTCTTCAATCCTTCATATCTTGAGCAATGCAGTGATGTGGAAATTAAATGGTTCATCTAAACCAAAAAAAAAGAGTTTTCCTTTTGATATTGATATAATTTTTGGACACTTGATTCTTTTCTGTTGCAGATTTTGTTGCCATAGTCTTGCACATATTGCTGCTTCTCTTTAGGAAGATTAAAACTTGTGATTATTTCAGCGTTATTGTATCCAATCATGGTGTGCAGCCAGATAAAAAACACTTTGGCGTGGACACTCTTGGCATTATGAGATTTCCACTGTCAAATATCCCACTGGACTGTTTCCTCTTGTAATTTTACAAAACAGTGAGCTGGAATATTTCTCAAATGCTCAGCGGTGTGTTTCCTCCAACACAAAGTCATCATCCAACTATAGACTCTGTGTTGTCATTGTGCGTTGTTTATTTTTGTTTTTGCTTTTTTATGATGGGCTCAAAACCACATCAGCATTGCATATCCAGATAAGTGGCTCTACATAAGCAGCAGCTTCAATATGCAAACAGACTAGAGCAACGAACAGGTTGAACTTCCTCCGTTTCGCATGACTAGGCTGGAAGTGTTTTATGTTAAGATTAGTTTGCAACCTCAGTCTGCTGCATCTTATTACTCATCCTCATGCTAACACACAATGTATCTTCTTTGACACACCGGGAGATTGTTATGTTTACTATTTCAGTTGCTTTAGAAAAACAGAGCATATAAATCGTACCATCTTTAGAAATATGTTTGTTTCATTCGTTTCGTATAAATAGAATTTATATATAATAAAAAGCAAATACAATTGTGGCAGCAAACAGCTGCTGTCTAAAGTAGTAATTTATAGACCATATGAAATGTTTTATATTTAACATTGACATTTTTACTCTAAATTCTTCAGCTTTTTTGTGTAAGACAGGTTAAGATACTTTCTTTTTCTTGGTGAGACTTAGCCAACGACAGCACCTTATTATTATTTTTTAGGAAAATATTTAGAAATAAAATATCAGTAACACTTTACAGTAAAGTACACAAAACTTGATTAAATTTTACTCAGAATGCCTAGAAAAATAGTAAGAAACTACTTTGTGGTTACCAAGTAAACAAAGAGTAACTAATCAAGCACTAATAAATAATAATATATATATATTTTTTTCGTTGTTTTATGCAGGCCAGTTAGTTATATTTCAGCCTGAACACCTAAATTCGGCCAATCATATATCAACGGTCATCTGACAATCAAATTTTTTTCGGTCATAGCATCTTGATTCATATGTCGCAGCTAATATACGCAACGGTTGAAATAATAAATAAGAATAATTTACTTTCCCATTGAGTTCCGTCCGAGTGTTCACAGGGATGGACGTCTGTATTTTCAGCAGGCGTAGAGCTAACAGAACTGGCAGCGTTGGGAGGCAAGGGCTCAAACATGTACAGCTGTAAGCCTTCTACACCAAACCAAGCTTCTGCCGCCCTGGCGTCCTCTTCCACAACATCTTCGTCCCCACTTTCCTCCTCTAAATAGAAAATGTATGACAGAGACTCATTCATGACCTCCAACATAAAACCATAGTCCATAGCGTTCCTTGAGAGTGTTGGTGCTAAGTGCTACTTGGAAATCGGGGATAAGTCTGAGTCCATCATACATTTTTTTTTACACACAAAGGCTGTGTCTAAATGTCCGCCCTAATCACTATATAGGGCACTATATGGTGGTTTCCCTTATTTTAGATGAGTGTCCCAACGTCTAGTGCAGCAGTCTAGTCAGCGGGGTCCGAATAAAGAAATGAAAATGGTCTGGAGACATTTTTATTATAAGGTATTACTTTAAACATCATGTAACATTGAAATAAAATGAGGTTTTTATGCATCCATGATATACATTGAATTTTTAAATAAAAAAAATATTTTAAAATTATTGAACATTTTCCCATTTTAAAATGTAAATAGTTTTTGAAGTAGAGAACAACAATCGTTCAATTTGGTATATAAACTATTTCATGATTCACATATTTTATAAAACACCTGAAGTCATCGTTTGTTATTTTGTTTTTCTTTTTTATGGCTTAATGAGAGCAGTGGGTTTTAGGCTGCCCTGCAAGGCTTTAAACCTGGGTTTTAATGGTGACAAAGAAATTCTCAAGCACATATCAAGGTGCTCATTTTGAGCCTGGATCAATATTTATGATTCTGTTCATGGTGGGAAAGTTGAGCGTAATATACTCAAAATGTGCAGGGTCATCTTTGAGCACACCATTTAACTTTTTTTCAGTAGTTCACCGCAGTTTTTCCAGCAGTCCAAGATTTCTCTGCTTTCTTTTTTCTCATTTCATTCTCCTTCTTTCCCATCGCCCGGCTTGCCACAGGTTTGACTGCTGTTGCTAAAAGTCACTCGCTGCAGTGATCCAGGCTGACACAGCTCATTGGCTAATTAGTATCATGTGTAGCCCCCGAGGGCTTTCCCATATTAACAGGAGAAGTGGCGCAAATGAAGTTAGACCCTGCCGTCGGACAACATGCGGTAATTTATAAATCTTTTAAATCAGGTTGGGTACGGATTAGCCAGCTGGTGGGTCCAAGATCCGGACTGTGGTCTGCTAATCTGTGACCTCTGGTCTAGGGGATGAAAAAGTAGTGAACTCAAAATTTCCCACAATGCACCATGAAAAGTATTGATCATCCATGGTCTCTAGACGAGCAGGTATATCTCTGCATCCTGTAAGGATGCAGAGATATACCTGTTGTAAATCTGCTGTAAGAGGACAGCTCTCCTCGCAAGGCATCATGGGATTAGTTGTCACAGTGGCACCCTGTCGCCTACAGCTGTCACTACCTGACAGCGGCGAAAAATAACAAGGAAGATGGAGTTACGTGACCAACTTGGAGCAAAAAGTAGTGATCATCTTTCGAACGTTCAGTTAACTGAGTTCACTATAAAGTACACTATTTAGTCCCCTCTCTATATAGTGTTTAAGGGATATAGGGGATAGAGTGGAAGTTTGGTCACAGCCAAACAATTTTTCATACTACCCATTAGTTCCTGATTGGTTAGTCTTTGTTTCCTTGGTAACTGCACATGCATTCTACACATCAGTTTGTAACTAAACAGCAGTCCCATATTAAGGTTGGGCTGGTTGTGCCAGTTATGTACTAGCTAACTACGCATTAGTTCCTAATTAATTCCCTTGGCAATCTAATTAAATTTCACTGGGGCGACGGTGGCATCGGAGGCAATTGGTGGGTTGTTGTTCAAGCCACAGCTTTGTCTTTCAGGATAATGTCTGATGGTGGTCAGAGAGCCTTGAGGCGCCTGTGTGCCCCAGCCTTGCCTCTGGGGCAGTCGCAGGGAGTCAGGCTGCCTTCGTCCCCCTAAGTCCGGACTATACCATAATCTAGTTCTGTTAACATGGTATGATAAAATGTAATCAGAAAAAGAGAAAAAGGGAAAGTATTACAAAATATCACACTGACACAGCAAATCAGCAAAAAATGGGAAAAGAACTTTACAAAGAAA